CACATGACGTGGCACAAATAATGAGCAACGGAACTTGTGAGTGAAGTGCATGGCCAACTTGTTTTATAAGCTTCATTCAAGACTTGTTCACACCAATGAAATTACGGTTAGCAAGAGCTGACGAGTGCAATGCCGAATGCAACGTAACACCATCACTAGCAGTAAGTGCCCTCTCTCAATATCTCATGCATGGATCCCAAAAGCCTGTGCAGAGCGCCTTTTCAAACAACCCTAGGCTGATCTAATTTCATTGTTTGTTTATTACCACCGCTCGCCTCGATTTTCCCCACCATGATTTCATTTCAAATTTGATATTTGATTTAAAAAATAAAAATCCCACCTACTTCAACCTTGCAGACTATTCTGCACTGCTAAAAAGGGTGTTTTGTCTTTCTCTATGCTACTGCAGAAGTCTTACGCTAGCTACAAATGGCCCCGTGCCGGTCCTTTATGGTCTATATGCTGCCGTGTGTGAACTCCTGGACATGATTCCTGACGGCATCACAGTGCAAATATCAAAGGCCCTCTGCATCGAAAAATTTGACTTTAAGTAATGATTAACAATAAGTTAATTTTGATCAGTCTAAATAAGACTTGAATCGTTCCTTCCACTGGCCGTAAGTCTACTGCCTAATGGCCAGCTCACCATTTCTTTCAGGAAAATCTGCTGAGTCCGGCTGACGGAGGCTGCTTTGTAGTAATCCACCAATTCGTTCAGCGTGTTGAATTTCACCACCCACAAGAAAAATTTGTTACTGAGGTCAGTTAGGATTTTGAAATGTTGTATTGACTCGCCGTACCTAAGGATAAATAAAAGCAGGAACAAGTGATCATCATACGGTAATTTTTCAACAGCAAGAAGTAAAAAAAAATCTCCCCAATGAGAAAACACTTTCCAAGTTTATTAATCCTGTATGTGCTTTTGCATTTTGAGGTTTTACCCATTTCAGATCTAATGCAAACACTTAGATAAGGACAGCATTCTGACTTTTGGGGAATTTTGGAGGCAGTCCCCACCAGAAAAGGCAACTTTGGGAGAGCCCTACTGGAAGGGTTTGTCTTAAGGTATCCTAAAAAAATCACCCAAATCCAATGAACCATTGAGAAATGGCTCCCAGATCCCACAAAATCAAACAGCTAGATACAAACAGGTATCTACCAACTTTTTAAAATTCCAAAATTGTAGTTGCCCTGTGTTGGTTTGGTACACCAGAAGATTTCTGGTGATGATTTGGGTTACCTGTGAGACCAAGTGGTAGGCTGTCTTTAAATTCCTTGATTTATCCCCTCCCCACATATACCAAGTTCCAGCAAGTAATAATACAATTGGCAGAATTATCTTCAGGATGAGTAATTTTTTGCCGTATGAAACGTATGCACCTCAACAGCAGTTCACTCCTCCAGAGTTGAGTCAACAAAGGCATACATGTACATGTGGGCCTTTTCTAGTAACACAAATATATACGTGTACAGCAGTGGGGAGAGGGTTAAGCTGGCTTAATCCCAGAGAATGCATTAGTGAGAACAAATTCTTTTTTTCTTTCACTGCTCTGATCCACATATCCCACTGGGAATCCAACTGAGGCACAAGGAAGTAAGCTTCAGAAATCACTAACTTCTCACAAAGCCATGCTTATTTTGATTCAGTCCATGAATTTTTAAAGAATCTGTAAATTAAATGTTTTGCCCTCTACATCTCTGCACGTTAAGTGAAAAAAGGTTGACACAAAACAGTGTGTGCTTACTTGACTGACAAGGAGAAATTCTTTTCATTGCTAGGATCACTCTCGCTCCTGCGAATGACAAATGCGCCATCTTTTTGTTTGTCCAGCAAGGATTCAGCACCGCTTCTTGTGACTTGTTGCAGGAAGCTTTGTACAAAAAAAAAAGTGGACTTTTTCATTAGTGAGAAAAAAAAACATTCCTTATTGCCTTTCATTCTCACATTAAATAAATACCATTCTTTAATGGACTTAAATGCAAATGTATATCTACACTGTACTTTCGCATATTGCAAGACTCATTTATCATTTTATTTAGAAGAAAAACACAGGTGAATATGATAAACCCTGTTCCATGTTAAGTTAACGAGAGTGGTAATACTGTTGATGCCATGAAAAAAGGGATACCTACTGGCCTGCAAAATACCCTGCACATTTTCAACTCCTTCCATTCATTAGAAGCTCAAAGTGCCTCGACAAATTTTATTCAGTCACTTACCTGCATGGTTTGACTTTGACATAATTCATTGGGATCAGTCCTGACTTTTCACCATCATAAACAGCAGCGCTGAACCAGTTTTCTTCGGCTTTCCTGAATATCTAAATATGAAAACATGAAATAACAATAATTCTATCAATAAAAACAACAAAGGGGTGACCAACTTCTGCAAGCACCGTTTTTGACTAGAACAGTTGGAAACCTTACATGTAGAGTTCATGCATAGAGTAAATGCATTGGTGGCATTTCCGTGGTGCCTCAGAGGCTGTTTATGTTATTTTACTTTAATTACAAGTCCAGCTTATCCCAGTGACACATTTCTTTCCTCCTAGGGCGCATTAACGCACAACCTCATAGATTTTATGTATCTGTAACCGGAACACAAATTGAAACTCGCTAGTTCAGCTGATTCCACCATGTCCCAGCTGAATCCCAGCTTGGTGCAACTTTAAGCCTCCATAAACCTACAAAATCCAGGGATGTTTCACAGGATTTGTAATACTGAAGAATGTAAACATAGAACCCAACTATTTGTTTCCCACAATGGAGATTTTGAAGGACTGGAAATATTTCTCTTTCAAAAACACCCCCTGGAGGAGTATAAGGATGGAGTCTAAATCTACAGTTTTTGGAGGCAAATTTCAATGACTTTGCTCTCTTGACCATGATTTTGGACAATTTGCAGAGAAAATTATAATGGATCCATGAACAAAGCAAGGAAGATGGGACATAACAAAGAACATTTTGCAAACTTTAATATTTCTATTCTGAAACATCATGCTGTCGTTTCAGTAGAAATTTCTTAATCTGGTATAATTACATGTACATACATGTACACACATGCATGTACTCAACTACTGAATCAAAAATAGAACACAATACAAATGTTAACCACAATGATCTCATGCTCAAATCACTGAATTTTTGACAATACAATGATTCAGTCATTTGGAGAATGAACTATTTCTTTGAGAATTCCTCCGCCAAGTAACAATGGGTTCATCCACTGGCAAACCCTCTTTCACAGGTGTTTACGAATTTCAGTTTCTATTTTGATCTTTTCCCCAATTACACAAAAGTGATAGTTCAAATGGAATATCAAATTACTCACATGTGTGGTACTTTAATGCCAAGATGGCATTAAAATGAACTTTCCAACTACGTGTACATAACTGCTTAGTACAGAGATAATGCCAAGGAGAACGTCAACATTTTTAAGGTGCTCACAAGTCATACAAATTGTTCTGTGTGACATGCATACAAATAACCCCATGACCTACTGCCTGTCAACATTTTACTCAGCATTTTATGAACAAACCCTCATTGTTTCCCAATCTCAAGTAAACCCTAACCCCCTAGGGATCACTGAAATCCTGCATAACTTTGTTGGGTTCAGCATGGTTAGGGTTAAAACCCTAACCATGCTGAACCCAACAAAGTTATGCTTTTAATGTTATACTTGTTACTGTCAATCAACCACTTTCCCTCCTCTGCTAAGCCACCAGCTTCATTTTTTACTTGTCCTTGATTTATTAAATCATTTTCTATTCAATTACAGTTTTAAATAATGGAAAAGCTGATTGCTATTGGTATGATTTTCAAAGGGTTAAACAACAAAAGTAAAGACCCAAGTAGTCTGTATTGGGCTCGTCAAAAGAAAAATCCAGTTACTTTTCCCGAAGCATATGTACAATGAATGTCACCCCCTCTGCACCTTTCAAGTAGGCAGGTATATCTTTGCATTTTGTCCAGTATTTTTCTTCAGAGATTTTTTGTTTTAGAAGTATTTGGCCATCCTCTTGCACCTTTCAGTGCCTTTACTCATAATGTGGGTTTTAGATTCATTGAAGAGAAAAATGGGTCTGAATAACCAACACATCAATTCTCAAGTCACAAAATAATATTTGCAAGCAGGCAATTCCCCACAAAAGTAGAAATCTGGTCGCGCTGATACCAACCCCCTGACATGCCTGATTACCCACATTTTACACAAAACGTTTAATCAAGACACAAAAGTTACATGTACAATGTATCATTTCCCTTTTTTTGCAAACCTGTTTTGTTCAAGAATTAATACTTACAATAATCAAGTCAGTGACCAAATGTCCACTGAAACCTGGAATTTCCCAGCTTTAACCCCCCTTGAACTACATGTACACTAACAGATGTGTATCAACAAGGAACTATACATACATGTATTCTGTCCTATTTTTTCAATCTAGTTCCCAGACCTATTTTTCAGATATTGAACGGATGTAGTTCTGAAATCTGGGACACTGTAATGGTAGTACTCAGCAACCAATAGAAACATAGATCTTTTCATTAGCTGACATACATGTAGCCCACACATGTACACAGTAGCCCCATTTATGATCAAAGCAGCTTAAGCATACATGTTCATTCACACATGCTTGTTCCACAGTTGTGGGTACTACTCCATCTACAAGTGTTGAAGCACAGATATTGTGGGTACCCCAAACCAATAATAAAGACAACTTTATGTCCCCACAACTGGGTCCTGACTATAACCAAATCCTACATGTATATTGTCCCCTTGATGCAGTGAAGGCATACCCGATGGGCGGCTCATTATGTGACCATGTTAACAGGACTGATCCTGATATATACTGATAATCCCAATGACCTACATGTAATGGTATGGCATGAAATACTGCAATTTTTTTTTTGAGGGGGATGGAACGCATACATGAAATGAACTTGCTCATTGCAGTATATTCCACCCTCCAAATTTAAAACTGTCACCTCATAGCTGGCATGGTGGAGTGGTTGCACTGTAGCTACAGTTAACAAAATTATTCATATCCCTTATAAACTCAGGTTTTGTGTGTTTTTCTAAAGAATGAAAAGTGGGCACATAATATTAGGGACATAGTTGAATACTTTTAGCTGTCAGGTATAAATGACTAATGGCTTTGGTTTTTAACTCATTTGCATAAATTGTTTGTTTAAACTCGGCATACCCTTCTGCATGTCATGGTATTTGGCCATATTCCTCTGAAATGTACATGCTCAAGACATTCCCAAGATTCTGCATGTTTTGAATATATGCAACAATGCATACAGCCTCTAGGAATCTGTTGGGAATGTCATCTTTTGCAATTAATTTGTGGAATGTCATTGTCAGCACTCTGCTTCTAAAGTATTAAAGTGCAATCACGGAGTCTTCCTCAATTGAAGTGAACATGGCGAAAACTATGGAACTCAGCAAGGTTCTCCACATGAGCACTGTGAATGCCCATTTCCACTGTACAGTTCATCGTCAAGAAGTACAAGAAGTTCAGTACTGTGAAAAATATCAGCAAGCGTGGGTGGAAGCTAAAGGTGTCTCCTTGTCTGGTAAGGAAAATGTGCCGTGAGGCCCATTCCAACCCAGAACAATCATCAAGGCACTTCAGGACAGCTTGGGTGAGATGGGCACAAAGGTTTCAACGCAGACAATCCGTTGCACACTGCACAAGGAAGGGCTACATGGGCTTTGTCCAAGAAAGACCCCTCTCCTCACTCACAGGCATCGAAAAGCTCAACTCCCATTTGTCAGAGGGCACCAAGACAAGGCTCAAAGTTTCTGGTCATCAGTTCTATGGTCAGATGAGATGAACATGGAGCTGTTTGGCCACAGGACTGTTTCCTTTGTTTGGCACAAGAAAGAACACTGTGCCGACCGTGAAGTTTGGGAGGGGGGCTTCTTATTGTAGAGTTGTTTCTCTGCAAGTGGGCCTGGTAATCTAATAAAAATGGATGGAATTATGAAGATAGAGTAGTACATCCAGATTATGCAGGACAATGTCAAACAGTCTGCAGAAAATCTCCATCTCGGCTCCAACTGGACATACATGTACCAGTACCAACAGGCAAAGGCAGTCAAGAAATTGTTCCAGGATTAACAACGTGGAGGTGCTACCACGGCCAAGCCAAAGCCCAGGCCTGAATCCCATCAAAAACCTGTGGGAAAACCATGAAGTCCAAGGTGCATGCCCGTAGATTCTCTAACCTGAAAGAGCTAGAGGTGTTCGCCAAGGAAGAATGGGCCAAGATTCCCGTAGAGCTGTGCCAAACCCTTGTGAACAGCTACATGTACACAAACTGCCTGGATGCTGTCATCAAGAACAAGGGCTTTGCAGTCGACTATTAACTGTGACATTAACTCTTATAGGTAACAGGTATGAAGAACTCTGAACATATCAGGATTTAAACAATGTAGCATTCTCTTTGTTATGCAAATGAGATAAAACCAAAGCCATTAGTCATTTACACCTGACAGCTAGAAGTGTTTAACTATGGCCCTAATATTATGTGCCCGCTTTGTTCTCAACGATACATGTAGCACAATGAACCAAAAGACTGCCACTTTACAGGTGAAAAAGTAGGTGACTGGATGGTTGGTTTGCATTTAAAATTGTTTCCATCTTTTTTCTTGGAAGAATTACGTATCCGACCATCACACTTTTTACGTGTCACAAAAGACAACAAATTTGTAATCTTAACCTACAGATACTAAAAGTAGTGGGTACCCCGTTTTGAACTTATTGGTACTTGTGACACTTGAAAACCATGACAGTCAAACACAGAACTGTCAGCTTCAGCTATTCACATTCATTTTGTTTCATTTCTTCCTCAACCATATCAACCACGCAGCAGTGCATGTTCCCAGTTGGTGAGGCATAGCATTAGCAGGTGTGTTCTCTCCATAGCATGTTGAAACCATAGGCTTGTGATCCTGACTGCAAAGCCACCTGATTTCAGGGTTTTGTATTCCAAGTGTAGGGTATCCTGCAATAACTCCATTAATCGATTTACACTAGCCTAAGCAATCACAGGACTCTTTAGACTATGCTCATCACACACCAAGCAGCGCAAACTTACAACTAATTTTTGTCCTTTCCTGAAGGATAATTCATCCTCACTGCTCCTTTCAAAGTTATACAGCGCAACTGCTTCCACCATGGTGACTCTCAGTGTTGTCTCAAAAATCAACAGCACCAACAACAACTTGCTACTGCTTGTGGGAGTATTAAGTACCAATGTCTTCAAAGGTTAATTGATGAGTTTCAGTACCAGACTGATTCTCAAGTAGAGAGAACAACACTCATCAAATTCTATGAAGGACGTTTCGCCAACCACTTAAGTTATGGCACAGGAGGTCTGGTTAATCTTAATGCTGTAACGAGGCGATAAAAAGTGACATTAACAAACTTCACTCCATCATGGCCAGGGATGGTGTTTGTCACTCGAACACGCAGTCGAAAGGATGTTGTTGTTGCTAGCTGTGCCCTGTGGCAAGTTCCTTTCTCGTACAACTTTCTACTGCCACCAGTGTTGGCAAACACGCTTTCAAATAATTTTATCAGTGAAAAATGTTACATTTAGTGAGTTATTGGCGAGGGAAAACATTCATGTAGTGTTCATGTGGAACAGTCTACGCAAACGCAATTTACGTGACGGCTATTTGAGATGGCGATTACAATACAACCTGCTCGCTGTCCATATTCGCTATTTCCTGTTTGTTTTCTAGCAATTTGTATGCCTGGTGCCCAGACGTATGGATCCTGCGATGACAACGGTAGGATACCAATACTTCTTTGGCCCAGATGCGAATCGATGAACGACTGCGAATAATGGCAAAGTCTTTCGACTGGCTTACTATCCAGGTTAGTAAATTTGAGTCGACATGTTCTGTGACGTCGAGCGAGAGCTGGCCTGGGCTGATAATCGGAGTTGAAAGGACCGTCATGACAACAGTGCGCTTGTTCGCAGGGCAAATTACTTTTTCAAGGCAAATTTCTTTAAAACAATACGTCTGAAAATAAACCAAACAAACAAACAAACAAACACCAAAACAAACAAACACCCCAACAAAAAACTGTGATACTGGATAACTACAGCAGAGTTTAGTGAAGACGCCAGTGAAGAAATGTGCCCCGGGCTCTTTTCTTTCAAAATACATGTAAAAATTTTGCCGTCCATTTTCACTTTTGAATCACCCCCATTCACAAAACTTTCACTGCTCCGACAAGTGCATTAACTGCATAATTTGAAAAACAGGAAAAAAAAGACAATTTGCACAGTCTGGAGTCAGTTACCTCAAACAAGCCAGCCATAAAGCCAGTTCACACAAATGTAACAACCATGAAAGTGCTGATTAAGATGGGATATTGTATGATCCAACTGACCGACTTACTGACTGACCAAACTGTTTCACCTTTTTGAGATGGGATATTGTATAATCCTACTGACCGACTTACTGACTGACCAACTTGTTTCACCATTGGTGACACAAATATTGCCCATATCGACTGGCATGATCAACTCACCAGTATGACAAAGCGACCAACAGACTAACCAAAGCACCTACAAACTAGATAACCAATCTAGCAACTGACTACAACTGATTATAATGGTGCTGAACACAGGGTTATTGAACTTGTCTTTTTCATTTGTAACAAAACAAATGCTATTGTAGACTTTTCAAATTTGACTGTAATATAAATCTTTTATACAAAACCTATACATTTGAACAACAACTCCAAAAATGACTACACAATGTTACCTTTATTTTTGAACAGTTTCAAAGTGATTAATTCAGTTACATACCTGTCAAAAATTAAGTTATTGATGATCCATTCACCGTATCATTTGCTAATGTCTCAAGAAGAAAATCCATTTCTCTGCAATTTCTTTTTCAACAGTAACATTTTTGTCACTAACTCAAATATCTGCCAAAGAACATTTAAGTTCACACTAGTTCCACTATAAAAATCTTTAAATCCAATGCTCAATCTGAAAAGGAGAGAAGTGAAATCTGGGAAATTAAAACAACCGTCTGAAAGCTGTTGGTTGGTTACCATTTTGCAAATAAATATTTCAGTGAATCATGAAATGGTACCATACAATCAACGACAGGGGCTTGAACTTGGTCATCCTGGTAATACTCTAAAAGGGAGAAAGATCTTTTCATTAAGCCACTTCTGATATATGGTAAATCAATGTACATGCGGCAAATACTATCAAGAAGTACAAGTAACATTGAATCTACAAGTAGGTGGGACTTCAAATTACTTAAAGACTGAAAATATGTGCCAAGAGAGGGCGGCATGGATTACGTTAAATCAAATATCTATAAGACTGGAAACCTGACCTGGTATCAGAAGTATCTATGAGTTCAGGACAGACAGAGTGCCCAAGCATCTGGACTTTTTATGATTACTTTGCACCTTGAGAATGATGCCTTTCCTGAAGTCTGATTAGCAAGGATGTGCATGTATTCATGGTGACTAGGGTGTGTAAACCATCTTGTATCAGGGTGCCAGCTGCCAGTTGTTATTGTTACTGAAGTGGAGATTATGGCCGTGTCCGAAACGGGATTCCAGAGCTACGGCTAGGTCTATTGTCTGCACGTCTCCATGCATTTCCAATGGAGCAAAGACCTAGACCTAGCTCTATACAAGAGATTCGGATGCAGCCTATATGCAAACTTTGGCTATATTCATGAGTAACTAGCGAGAGAAACCTGTGTTGAGCGCCATACATAAGCAAATCAAAAGAGTGGCTATAATGCACTGTTTCCACTCCATTTTTCCTGACTTCTCAAAAACTAAGGAATTCTGACAAGGCATGGGTGCCTGTGTTTGATTTTCAAATTAGATACTTTCCATCTGAGGTCATGTGGACAACGATGTACTGGCCATGTTTAGACTCTACATTGAGTGGGAGGCTATGTTGTTATTATTTGGTAATGGTTGCAAATTGCATGCATGTTCGTGGCAGCCAGTGGATAGTGGCTGCGGCCATCTCCCAGAGCTAAGTGTGTGTACAACCAGCCACAGCCAAGCATGATTCAGACACAAGAGGGCTAGTGTCACTGTCAAGCTTAACCCTTGCTCTCACATTTTTTTCACGTTCTTCATATGTGAACAAATGTTTGCTGGTACCCATGGGCCCCATTTAAAGGTACTTTCATGCTATTGGTCTTTCCTCAAACTTCTCATTGCACTGATTTTGTTTCATGGGTCAATCAGGTCAAAACTGATGCACAAGCAATTACATGCACCGAATGCTCAGGGCAGAATAATAGGTGACCTAACCACAATTTTGTTTGTCTGATTGAAACCTTTTATGAAAACGACTGGCTGAGCTGACACAAGCACACTTTGACTAGGCTGGTGGGAGAACTGCAGGATGAACAGTGCACGTTGAACCAGAGGAGGGTTGGTGCCCTTCCCCTGTAGCTGGGCTTTCACAAGAGCTTGCCCCCTCACCAGGTTGGGCACAAAGCTGATACAAGTCAATAAGACGATACATCACGTGGACACATGGTATCAACTGGACAACGACTGCATGAAGCTGTCCAGGTTGTACTCTGTCTCATACTGTTTCTCGTCCCATAGTTCACTCAGTCCTTGCAGCACACTGCTGGCTGTCTGTTTGGCCTTGCTCCCTGCAAATGATGACGAGGCCTCCTGCTTAGATTCCTCAAAACCTCCCGGCCGCTTCTACGGATAAAACAAAACATGTGCTAAGATTAAGTAACGTTGAGAAGTCTATGAGGTAAAAAAGATGGTCACTGAATTGTAACATATGCTGGTGCATAATTCTGACAAGACTGGTTTACTTCTGATGGAAAGACACACAAAAAAGGTTTACTTGACATTTTGAACATAGTACACTGTTAAGTGAAAAAAAATCTCTACTTTAAAACAAAGAGGACGACAATAAGCAATATTTTGGCTTATTTTTCCTAGCCGGAGACCTTTGAAATTATATAGTGGCCCACTGCAACATTCAAAAAGTCAAACACTGGGTGTCCAAATTGTCAGAATTCTTATAACACCCAGTAATATGTCTTGTTAAAAAACTGGTTGCAATCAAGCCCCCAAGCAATAACTGCAGTAACCATTGGCTAAATTCGATCAGATACCATTAGTCAACCACTAGGTTTTGCTGGGTACCAGGCAAACTTGACTCTTGGTTAACTGAAGGCTGCTGGTAGTTTTCACTGGCATAAGCTACTAAGAGCTACTAAGGACGAAAAGTTGCAAAGTGAACACCAGTGTTGTATTCAAGACATTCCAAGACCTTTCACAAGACTACGCACAAGACCAGCAACAAGTAACAGGGTGAAAAGTGACAAAAAGATGCTTTTGTTGGAGTTAATTTGAATAGCTTGTGGCTTGAATCAAGACTAGGGGTCTTGCGTTGGTCTTGAGGGGTCTTATGATGGTCCCGACTACAACACTAGTGGAAACAAAACCTGCTCAGCAAATTAGGTTCCCCAGCAAAATGCGATGCATCATTTATAGCTTGTGAGCCAATCTGTGCTTACATTTTAAGACACAAATTTGCTTAATGGGGCCGAATTTCATGGCACTGCTTAAGAGTTAGTACAAAAGTTGTGCTCCCTATAGCAGAAAATGTTGATTGTGCTAACAGTTGCCTGCATATGGAGATTTCCACTGTCATATCACTAAGTTAAGCAAAGTTATTCTTGGATGAAAATATGCTTTTGCTGTGCTTACTGCTTTCAGTCTCCATAAAATATGTAGAACCTCGGTTAGAATAAAATTGTGCACTTAAGCAGCACCATAAAATTGGGTCCACTATATAATTAATCTCCACAAAGTTGGCCCATGTTCTGTCATCTTAGTACCTGGTCCAGGGAAAACAAGTCCAAGAGCTGATCAGTGCCCATGGACTGCAGACTGGAGTTATCCTGGGTGATGACGGTGTTGGCAATGTTCATCTTGAACTTCTGAAGTCTGCCAAGGCAAAAATATGACATCAATCTCTAATTTCAAAACCTTGACCAATGCAAGTATGCATACAGGAGTCAGTAAAATGAACTAAGTGACACTGGAACGACACTAGAAATGTTTAAAACATCTGAGTATCTCCTAGCCCTAAAAAAGCCAAACTTTTCCTTAGCTTCTTTCAATTAACTTTTTCTTGCTGTTACAGTAGCAGAAGGCATGATTTACAATTCAATATTTTGACAAATCAGTAAATGTACAACATCTAGTCCTACAGTCCCTTTTAATTTTAGACCATTAAAACAGGACAGTTTAAAAAATGGTGCTGAAACAACTGAAATGACAACAAAACAAATTGGGTACAGGAAACTGCATGTGATGGGCTTTAATTTGATACCAATTACAAGTCATGCCAGCTTGGATGACTGAATAAATCATTGTTCATTGGAAAGCACCACATGAAATTATGTCCATCCTTTATTTAGGGCCGTTTCAGAGTTTACCCTGCAGCACATAAACACAATCCTAAGAGACAAGGATAAAGCTATCTACCCCATGATTTTCTCCTCCAAGGTTCCTCTGGTAATGAGGCGGTACACGTTGACCACTCTCTTCTGACCAATGCGGTGGGCCCTGTCCATCGCCTACACATGCAGGACAATGAAATTCCAGAAGAATTATGATACGATCTGTGAAAACCCTCTACAAGGTGAGCTTTGTCCTTTTAGTACAAATCACCCTCAAATTGATCTGGATACCGTGCTGCTTTCAAAACTGTTTAATTCATGATTCTAGACAACCTAGACTCATGTTGTGGACAACCTAGAATCATTAATGAAATACATCTGAAAACAAGAATGTGTTCATATCAATCTGAAGTTTACATGCACCCAAAAGCTCACCATGTGAAAGTTTTTCGCAGATTACATCACAATTGGCAAACAAGTTTTTGGAATATCCCAAGGCTTTCTCAAGAAATATACATGTAATATATATCATCATTACGTTTTTAAGATGCGAGTTCGGAAGACATCTTGAGATTTGCTCTTGCATCTCACAAATTGAGCTTTCCAATGCTACATTCATGTCCTCATGTTTGCTTTTAGTAAGATGAGAACACAATGGTCTGAACAGTTTGAGCTCTCCAATTTAATTTTTGGAGAATTATGATACTTTTATTGCAATGAAATAGAGTCTTCTTACACTTGGAATTTTTTTTTTATTTTTCAAGTCAACCTCCAAAAGATGTGCACTTTGTCTCTTGGAATGGATCATGTAAAATACTTCTGGTTGGTAAGGTTTCTGTTGGTACAAATCCTGTAGTCTGAAAGATATTTACTTTAGAATTCAAAGCTTGATGAGCAAGAGTCAAGCTCATGGAAACATCTTCCAGGACGAATGCAGGAGCTCTATCTCCTCTGTGACCTTTAGTAGAAGCAAGCAAAATTGTAGTGAGTATCACGTTGCTGCTTATGAATTTACCTGCAAGTCCCTGGTGGGGTTCCAGTCATGTTCCACAAATATAACAGTATCGGCTCCTGTCAGATTAAGCCCCAGGCCTCCAACATGTGTAGTCAGCAGTAAGATGTCAATGGAAGGATCGTTGTTGAATCTGTACTCAAAGGAGACAAAAAAAGACATTTTCAACGCATCCATACTGGGCCACAGAATTGATATATAGCCCAATGCAAACTCTGGAGATTATGAACAATGCGTCACACTTCCAGCCCTCTTCCCATAAATTCAGTCCATGGTATCGTAACATGCTTTAAGATCCTGTACTAATGATATCTAGGTTTTGATACACATCTTTGTCGAATCCCTGCATCCCGAATGTAGCTCAGGTTATGTCACATATCTTTAGGTCGTTAGTTCTGATTTCATGACACTTTAAGCAATGGCGTAACTCCACTTGCACTACATTTTATTGCACAAGTTGCGCAATCAATTAAGACCAATTTTACAAAACTTATGCACTACATACATATAAGTCTGTGACTTATGCAACAAATAATGGCGTAATTTACGCAATCATTTTAGATGGTGTAAGTTGCACCAAATGAAACGAAACTGAACGATTTGACTAGCTTATCGTGTTCAGTTAAGCCGCATCATTGTTGAATATAACAAGGTGTACAGTTTTGTTGTAGAAGCTAATAAAAACTTGTTTGGCTGTTTTTTTTTCAAAATGACTGTTTTTTTTCAATGACTGTTTGATGAATGTTACATTGGCAAGGAACAGCCTTTGTAAAAACCATTTTGTCCTTGTCCAAGAAATTATTTTATTAAAACATGGTGCAGCTACACAACTTTTCATGAAATCAAACATAAGTATATTGCACAACTATGGCATAAAATTGTGGCGCAAGGCTTACGCATGGTTCAAAGTGATACCACATTTCATGAAATTGGCTGCAGCACCAACAATCCCATAATATGGCACACCTTAATCAGACATTGTGTATTGGTAGTTTAGTTTTCGGTATCCGGTTCTTAAACTATCAATAAATGGATAGCCTTAATAAGTTCATTTTATGTACCTATGGACAATGTCATGCCTTTGGCCAGCAGGCACGCTGCCATCCAGCCTGAGGTAGGTCACATTCGGAAGGTGTTTCCTGCAACAAAATCAACACGAGAAATATGACGATGTCCACCTCTTCTCTTAGATTCTGCTTTTCACTGCTTCCAGGACTTTTTCTAAAGTGGTGTTCAAAATACAGACCCAACTAATCGTTACTGTAATATGCAGAATAGGGGAACTTCTTGGCACTAGGCTTAGCAACACATCTGTAAAATTGCAAGTAGAAATGGTCAAAAGTTAACAGGTGACCAATTTTCCTCACCACATCCAGCCATAATTTGCTTTAGAAACACAGCCAAATTGAGAGTTTCGTATTTTAGTTTCCAATCAAGAAGAAATCTTGACATTCCCTTAGGAAAGTACCACAGCAACCCCTACACTAAAAATAATACATACAGTTAACCTTGAAGGAAAAAGATAAAAATGTTCCCATAAGATCCCCAAAAGCAGGACTACACTGAAGAATGTTGGAAATGGAGGAAATAATTGGAAATGAAAGGAGGAAAAAATCTGAAATCCTTTTAAAGTAAGAAAAATGTCATGACTGAAAATAAAAACCTAAATCAGACCTGAGTAAGTCTTTCTCCACAATATCCAGCATGCTCTTGAGCTGGCAGAAAAGCAGCACCCTATGCTGGCCCACGACGGCTTCTGTCAATCCTTCCTGTTCGCTAACCATGACCTCCACGCCGATGCCACAGTCCTGGAGCAACTGCCTGCAGAGAGGAGGAATTACACAGAAAAACAAGTAACCATAGGGTCTGCTCTTCTTATGTCACAGATGTCTTTTTCCTACAAGTAGCTGCTAAAAGTATGGCTGGTCGTCACTAAAAACGTAAAAGAACAATTCAAAAAATGTTAAAAATCCCATGCAGCTTTCAAAACACTAGATAATAATACATGTACTACTGGAGTCTTAAGTAATAAATGAAAAAATAAATCTGACGAATGTACATGTTAAAAGAATTTGAGCTAAAATCGGAAACAACCAAAGAGTGGTTTTTCTGCAAACTTTGGCTGCCCATACAGATTTTAGGCGAAATGAGAGTGATCTAAACCTCAGCGAAGGCAATCAATATCACAACTACAAACAAAAATGAGGATAAGGTTCAGCTTTAAACATGTCTAAAACATGAAAGATAATTCTAAAGTCTTATTATCCATTACACAGATTTCAAATTAGCAGAAAGGCTAAGGTCGTGTCTAAATTACCCGGCTGCAGCTTGAAATAAAACACGAGTCTATGGTAGTGGCTGTAACCAATTCCCATAGAGTTCTATGTAATTTTAAGCCACAGCCAAGTAATTTGGACACAGCCTGAGGCTCTGAACTGGTAAGCTAACACAAGTTAGTGACCAGTTTTATCAACCTTGACACAAAAGAGAGCAAGATGGTGACATGTACAACTGTACCAAGTGACACAAAACTCTATCCTCCATCAAACAAGCTGTCATGGGCAAACTTACTTGAGTGCAGTCAGCTTGGGTGCGTGTGCGATATCATGCAGGGAGGTGTTCTGAGCGCTAAGTTGGGCGGTGATGTTGTCATACTGAGGGTGTTTTTTGTTCAGGACAAGTAACGGATGATTACACACCTTGCGCAAGTACTGAAGTGCCTAAGGGTGTAACATCAAATGGAAATACACCATTAACTGAAATGTTTCAGAGTAGTGAGCATCCTTCCTGGTTGGCAATATATCACATCTAACTAGTCAGCAACCATTCGATACACAGAACGAGACAAGTAAAACATCAGATAATCGAACTTTGGACCTTCTCTGGACTTCATACTAGGGATAATGTTGAGGAAGTTTTTGGCTTGCCATGCCACTTCGAGACTTTCAATGTAGCAATATGCACAAAACCCAAATCCTTCCACTCAAAAATATATTCTATTTCTGATCCAGTAATACATAATTGCCTGTTACTTTAATAACTAGAAGCAGGTTCCAGATTTTGTACAAACATTTGCTTCTTATCTGGAATCATCATATCATTTCTGTTAGTTTGATATCAAATTCATGTGATTATTTTATTCAAGATATGGATACAAATAAACTAAACTTGAAAAAAAATTTTTTTAAAGTGACCCAAGTGATAATACACTGACTTCGCTAAAGCGAGCATAAAGTTTCAATAAATGGAAAAATGTGCATTTCAGCAGTTTCATGGCTTATATAAAACTTTATACAATGATGTTTAATTGTAATGAGTAGCAAGGATAGTTCCACCAGACTAGGCTGTTTTAGTTGAAGTGCAAAAGAAGGTGATTCAGAAGGAAGTTTAACAGCCATGAGGTAGAGAAAATGTAAAACAAGAGGAGTATGCATCATCAAGCAAAGCAATGTCCTTTGGGTAGTACAGGACACTGTCCCTCCCCCCCCCGATACGGGGAAGAGTGTAGAATCAAAGTTCACAAAGGTGATTTTGGTATTTCATGTCATGAATGATGCACCATTTAAAAGACTTCATTATACACATATTTACTAAATCTTTTCAACATGAAGTAAAGAAACAACATACTTTTTTCCCAATCTCTGACACAACTGTTAACATATCAGCTGTAACTTGTGATTTGTTGCTCACACCACTGTTGATACTTACCTATAAGTCACCTCTGGTAACTGTAATATATTTCTGTTACAGGACTTCCTGCTATAATGCTTAGTCTTCAGGCTCTCACGTTTATTTACACACACCCCCTCCAATACTCTTTGTATCAAAGTGAACAACATTTTTGCAAGACGAGTGGAGATACCTTTCACAGCTTCTTGAAAAGTTCACAACTTTTATCCCAACAATAAATAGGACCTCATCAGATATTGGCTACTCCTCCCAAAAATCCCTCCTCTCTTTTGTTTGGGACTGCACCTGTGATCAGTGAGACGAGAGACTGACTTCACCCTGTCTTACCTGGAATATGTGACTTGTAGCTGGTGCCAAGGGTTTGGCCTGGCTCTCCCCCTCCTCTGGGCTGTCAATGCTTGCCTCCACACCCTTCTTAGCTCGAGACTTGGCAAAGTCCTCATACAGTTGCACCTTGGGACATAAAGAAAGTTCCCACATGTGAAGGTTTAAGATTCTCAAAGTACCACACTCGATATCATCTAAACCTTTGCGAGTGTGGAATTTTGTGACCGGCCTTTAGGGCCGGCGACCATTTAGACCCGGTTTGGAAAGGGCCCCCCCGGTAAGCTCGCCCTGTTGCAAAAACCCCTTTCATACCAGCCTGGCGACCGGCCTGGGATGCTGGACTGGTTGTTGATCTCGAACTTCTCCATCCTGGGGTCTATTGTTTGCAAGTACTGGTACATTTAATCTATCCTAGAAGGAACCTGCTTGTGGTTTTTAATCCTTCAGCGCTATACAATGTTTACACTAATCCCCTTAGACCCCTATTCATCTGTGGAAGCACGGTGGGGGAAGCCTTCCATTAGGGACTTTGAAATGCCAATGTCCAGACAGGCCTGATACCGGCCTGGAGTAGCCTGAATACCGGGCAGGCATTATACAGGGCGGGCTACCAGGGGGCCCTTTTCAAACCGGGTCTAAATGGTCACCGGCCCTTACCTGGAGAGCACTGAGCTCACAGTAATAGTCCTGAATGATCTTGGGAGGTAGATCGTCAAGCACATCCTCCTTGAGACGTCTGAGCAGGAACGGAAGGACCTGTCTGTGTAGAGACTCCATGGCCAAGGCACCTGCCATTGCAAGTCACAGGAAGAAAAGTGGCCTAATTATGTTGAACAAAGAAAACTGGAGTGGATTGGAAATTGAACACAAGAAATCTTAACAATTACCAAGATCCCCGTAGACTCATCAGAAAGAGGCACCATTAGTAAACTGGCCCCACACTCACTCATGTGTTAGTTAGCTTGAGGCATGCATGCATGTTGACAAGTCACAGCACCTCATTGGTTGAAGACGTAGTCAACATGCATGCTACTTGCACACCAGCATATTGCTACAACAAAAATGGCGCCTAATTGTGGTTGCCGCTAAATCTATGAACAGGCCAACACTATTTCCAACTGATTAACTACTAAGTGACAAATTCTATTTCCATGAGAATGACATATTGCCATATTGCAAGGTACTACTACCAGTAATGATTGTGGTTGCATCGCATAACATCTTGAGAGATACTGTGGTCCACTTTCTGGAGGCAAAATGTCTCCTCTTTGTTATGACTGGAAACAACACAAGGCACCTCACCAGATTCTTGCTCCTTGGATGAGCTCTTGGCATCTCGGCTCTGAATGATCGGCTTGGCGTATCTGGCCGTGAACTGTTTCTCCGTTCCCAGGTAGCCCGGCATCAGGAAGTCAAACAGAGACCACAGCTCTAGCACATTGTTCTAGGAGTAACACAAAAGTCGATGATGGGAGAAATACCATTCGTCACCTCACATATCCAAATTTAGGAATGCTGCTGTTCCATTTCTTTTCTTATTCTCACCAAGGACAGTATTTGCTCCAAATGTATTGTCCTGCAGGTCATGCTGTTCTCTTGTAAGCCTCCACATGCTCACAATATCAACTATAATGTGCAAGCTGTGCCCTATGGGTAAACAGGAGAAGTTCTATAAAATCTGGAGTGTAAGTAACCCTTGCACATTTTTTAAAGCTTGCCTGACATCTTTAACAAGCTAGTTGCAATGACGAGATAACTTGAAAATACAACCACAATATTTGCTGCCGCTTATTCCTGGTAAAGCAGACATCATGTATTGTCAAGATGATCTTATTCAACGGAAAGACATTATTTTTTGTGAGTTGAAGGCAACTTTGACTTGGCAAGCATACCACTGGCAAGCACATCATTCCTTGGTGGGACTGTACATAAGTCTGCAACATACCTGAATAGGTGTGCCTGACAGAATGAGTCGATGTGCTGCACTCAACTGCTTGATGGCCTTGGCTAGCTTGGTTTTGCCATTCTTGATGATGTGACCCTCGTCAAGTATGCAGTAATTCCACTGAATTGTCCTGATGAAAATTTAAAAAATAAAGTCAAATCTTAAAAAAAGTGCAAACAGCCTGCATCTTACACGTTTTCACCTTGTCATAAATGAAACCCACATAATCCCCTACTTTGCAATGGGTCAACAAGCAAGGTTCTCCTGATCTACTAAATGAAGTAACAGTATTTTTCTGGAGACAATGTAAACATGGCAAAGCAGACAGAATATGCCTTGAATTTAACCACTTTGCACCAGGGAACCCGGTATCGGGTACCCTATGTTTGAACGCATAGCCGGGGAGCCTGAAATCGGACAAAGGACCTGGATCTTGTAACAAAAGACAGGAATCTGAACAAAAGACCAAGCTGCTGGGACTTGAAGAACATTTTATTTGTCAATAGCAGAGGTACTCTGTCCTTTTTTGAAACACTATACAACTTTTTGAGGCACTCAATACGCAGGATTACAACCGCGGATGAAAGCTATGCAGCGCTGCAGTGCTGAGAAACACAATACTGCTGCATGCTAAACTAGCCCCATTGAAAAAGACGCCAGCAGCGAACTGCTCTAGAAAAGAAAATTACGCAACACTGCACAATCTGGGCTCTCTTTATTGGGCGGCAGGCCTGGTTGAAATACACGGGTGTCAATTGATGTTGCCTGTCAGATTAGAGTAGCCATCAGACAGTCACTCGTGTGGGTATAAAAGTTTTTGAAGAATTTTGAAAACAGAAAATCATGAAAAACGCCCGTATTCGTGCACTACCATTTTAATTGAACCCGTCACGAAGCGGTTAAGAGTGAAACTTTGGTTTATTGCTAGGTTCGTTCTTAGGCACAACCCCACACATTTTACTGGCTTTCTGATTACAGGAAATGTGCTTGAGTAAGTCAACAGTAGACTGCACTACCTCAATTTTTCATTAATGCGCAAAATATCGGAGACAGCAGATTAAGTTATCAATGTCTCCATAAGCCAGTAGATATTTTAATACCAGACTCCACTGATCGTGTGAAATGTAAATCCTGCACACCAGATCAGCATAAGAAATCACTCGCGTAGCCAGTATTGTTTGTTTGCTCAAACGTAAACGCAAACTGGCATGACAGCTGTACTACTCACTTAAAGAAGTCGATGTCGTTCCGGACAATGTCATAAGACACCACAACCAAGTTGTGCTTCTTAACCCTACTGCGTAACCTGTATCACAGGGGAGGGGGCAGAAAAAAAGAGGGAAAATAAAACGAAAGACGATTGTGAAATGATGACATCTGACAGCAGGAATGACGACAGCGGGTGCTATATTGAAATGGGAATGAATCACACTCCATTTACTTGACTAAAGGGAATTAACTGTACAAGTGAACAGACTGCATTGCATGTCTTATTTAGCAAGAAATATGTCAATTTCCTGAACCGAAAGGTTATTCCAGGGACACGTTCTTTTCTTTAATGAGAAATACAGCACAATAATTTAGAATTCAAGTGACACAACACTTAAGGCCCTGTACAATTCCAACAGTATTCATGAAAAAATGAAAACAGCTTATTCCGGTAAGTCAAACGTACGTTTGTCGTTCAGTGGGCGGGCCAGTGTAGTGCAGGGGATGGAGGTACTCTCGTGAGCAGAATTTCTCAATTTCAAAGACCCAGTGCCCTGTGAGGGTTGGTGGACAGATGACAATGGAGGACAGAGGGGCAGCATCTGCATGCTGCGTTTTCTATAGAAAAATATAAATGACATAAAAATATAAATAACTGAAATGATAAGATGGAAATAAATTAAATTTATAAAGCACAGTTCAATTGGAAATTGGAGACTTCTCAGTTAAAAATCTCTTATAAATTCACAATCCTTTTGATGGGAAGGAAACAATTTGGCACATTTGTTTCCTTCATTAATAATTGACAAGCTAAAAATCTGGAAAATGAGTCAAAATTCTAATGAATTTCCTTAAAATCGGCTATTTGTAAAGAGATTACTGACTTAAAAGCATACAACGTTGAAACCGGCACGTAAAATAAAAATCCAGGACAACAGAATATTATTTGTTTTTGTGGAGGCTTTTTGGAGAAAAGCCTGTCACCACAACGATCAAAGAAAAAAATTCCAAATTATAAGAAAATGATGGTCAGCTTTTGTCTGACATACTTTATGTGCTCTTTCTCTGAGGTAGTGGTCTCCAGCCATGATGCAGATGGACTGCAGCGTTTTCCCCAGACCCATGTCATCACACAGAATCCCATGCAACTTGTACTTGTTGAGAAATGCCAGCCAGTTCACACCATCCTGAGTCGCAGGTTGTGGAATAAATGGAAATTTGACGTTACTGTCAAAACTAACACTCTGGCTATAATGTTAAGTTTTCATTTGCACTTTTAAATCATGGAAATCAAACATAGATTTTTGAAGACTTTTTGAGGTTAAAAACACCCTATGAAAATGAAATAGATTAGAAGGACATCTTATCCAAAGTCACTTACAAAAATAAAATGAATTATTGAAGTCATTCCAAATTTAGAGATCTTTTTTCAGAAATCTCTTGACAGCCTTTAGAATGTTGAAGCTCTGAATGATAAACCACTTTTGTCAGAACCATGTAACCATACATCTCTCTCCCTATTTCAACTTTTCTTTTACGTCTAGACCTCACTTTCATAAAAACACCAATATCTTACCATAAAAACAATGATTAATTAAATCCCACGAGGGGGGGTTACCAGAACTACTGGCATGTCCAAGTTTTACCTGTTGGTATTTCCTGAGTTCAGCTTTGATGGTGACCGGCACTTCGTAGCTATCCAGCTTTTTACTGTCAAGGAGTTGTTCTAAGAAACGCCGTTCCCTAGCTTTCTGCTTGACCAAGGACACTGCCATCGCTGGTGGGTCTGGGATCCCAGCCTGCGGATGGGTTGGATGAGGAAGGAGGGTAATCAGAGAACAGTTCAGCTTTGATAAGATGATAAGACACTTATTCAATGCCGTCATTCTAACACGCAATCACAATTACAGAATTAGTCGTACAGACAAATACAAATAGGTAAGATACAATAATGTACAGGGTAACAGAAATTTCAAAGCAAGAATAAATGACAACATTTAGGTGTGGGGTTAAGCAATGCTTTTATACCCCAAACCAATGAACAGACAAGAAATAAGAAAGCAACAAAGAAATAGACACAGAACAGACAAAACATATCATACAACAAACAAGTGTGAGACAAGACCTTCAATTACATGAGGGCAATCTTTTACGTTCATGTCTCTAATTACAGGTTTTTTTAGTTAGAAGGAAATATACCTTAAGTGATTAATAATGCCAGTGTTCTTTATTTTTGTGGCTAGTTCATCTATGTGACATTTCCAAGTAAGATGCTCATCTAAAATTATACCTAAAAATTGGTACTTTTAACTTGGCTCAATCACAAATTATTCCAGAGATCTTTCAGAGTAAGGCATTACTACGGTGATGCCAAAAAGCTAAGACTACACAGTACCGAAGTGGATACAGTATGTCGTGTGTGTAAAAGGCATTAGCACAAAAACCTGTGAGTGAACCAACAAGCGTGAACTCCATTCGTTTGCACTACACCCCGTGGTTCAAAATGGCGTCCCACATTGGTACTCTATAGCCTGTATTGTAGTGGAGTTCCTTCACAAGGTCAGTTATAAGTATGAGGGGAACAGTGACTAAGGAATGCTTCTGATTTGAATAGCTTGGCTTAAGACTGAGTGACTTGTGATGAATATGTGATGGGACTTGCAGAGACTTCTGGTGGACTCAACTACAAAACTGACAGTGGCTGAGAAGAACAGATGTGCCTACATAGCCAATGGCTTGCTGTTACTGTCACCCAAAGATGTGAGTGTGGATACCTCTGGCTGCAGATGAATCATTAAGTTGAGACAAGACATGTTCCAGAGGACAGGGCAAAGCGGGGGGGTAGGCAAGCATAACTAGGTTCCCGTTGAATTAACAGAGTATGCTTTCAACTCACCTCCAGTGGCATGAGCCTTATCAGCGTCGCGAAGCAGTGCGTAGCCGTCAGTCGCACGCTTTCCACCTGGTCGCTCATTCGCCCCAGCAGGGGCACCACCAGCAGTACAATGTAGGGAACCACACCCATGCCCAACCGCTCGATGAGACACATCATGGCCTCCACGGACCCCTCCCGCCGGGTGGCGCTGTCTGCCACCCCCAGGAGAGGCAGCACATCTGCCAGGACACGATTCATGGTCTCGGCCGTGGCCACCTGGCCCAGTGCCCCCAGGCTGCTGGCTGCCACATGCCGGACGGCGGTGTAAGGGTGCTGCAGACACTGGATCAGGTTGGGAAGAAGGCCTGTCAGCTGGTAATGAAAAAATGAACAGAACACGAAGAAAATTCCCAATTTAGTTTGTTTAAGAAACTGACAAGGGTGTAACAAGAAAATCCTCAACCAATGTAAAAGGCCAAACAATTTAATCATTAAAAAACCTGTAAATACAAGATCAGACAGGTTTAGTGAGTTGAGTAAACGAACAACTTTGTTCTGTTTTCAACACTTGACAAGACAAGGGGCTACACTATGGTAATGCCACTGCTCCGATGTGTGAGGATAAAGTCCAGCACTGACCTTTGGGTGTAGGTTTGGATGCACTGCTGGGCATAGTACCTCAAACACTTGTAGGCTATTGATTAGCTCTTGGGCTAGGTCATCCTTGTCCTCCAGCAAGATGGCATCTGAAAAGGACATCCACTATCAGACTAACTTAAATACCCTCTACACAACTTGGGTAATGGTGGTAATCAGTGCTTACAATATTCTGTAATATTTGAAATCTACATAAAAGAACAATCCCGCATCCTTAATTGGAAGCCTGGTATCACATTAACCCTAACAGTAATCAGTCCTCCAACAGGTGAAGGACTGAGGAGTGTTAGGGTTAACAAATAGGCAGTATGGCCACATTCAGTGCGACTAGGATATCCGATACCTTGATATCCGAAAACGTACCTTCCCATTTTGAATTTAAGAAATTCACTAAATGCAACATGTTCTTGTGCTTGCTTTAGTTCATGAGCATTTGCAATTTTAACTGGTTTTTCAATTTTTTCATTTCAAAAAATTTTTCAATTTCAATTTGAGATTATTTGAAAAGACAATGTTTTGGTGATTTTTTCCATAGACTATTTCACACATGATATTTTGTGACTTTTGACATTTGGTGCACAAGAATATTTAAACACATTTTGGCTGTGATTTCATTCGCTATGGAAAACATTTCAAAATGTGGAAACATTTAAGTAATTAGGAAAGCATTGCTGCAAACCTCATATTTGTGACCCATTCCAGGAAGAGGCAATATAAAAGCTGCCTATGCCATTGTGTGCAATGGCCCTCTCAATGTTAAGAAAGTGAAATTCTTGTGGGATTTCAATGTTTGTTTTTCATCAGAAAAAACATCATTATTCACTAAAGTTTCAGGTTTATGACCAAAACGGTTCGAAGGGAATACACTAGTTGACAGGAAGATTTGAGATGACTCTTCCAGTCCCATCTGTTTCAGCATTTCAGAGCCTGTTTTCTCAGTTAAGTTGAACTCCGTAGAACTTAATAAAGGTGAAAAAAGGTCAAATCTCTGGAACGGAATGGGCTATTGATCTGTGCCATATACCAAATGAAAGATTACAATGCAGACTTTAAGCCATATAACTCACTTTTGTCATTCCCTTTAATAATAATATTCCCTTTTGCAAAGTGGATCACGTATGTCAGAGTAGCTAAATTTAAGTATCTTACAAAACTTGCCAATAAGAAAATAAAAATCCAAAGACCCCACCGACTTTGTTTAGTTTTTTCCCAAACAACTGAAGAAAACCTTTTTTCTCACTTCAGAATAAAAGCCTGTGTCTCTGTCAAGCAATTTTGTCTATGGCTACGGAAAGTCCATGCAGTGCATAAAATGCAGCCAACAGCCTCAAACGCTCAACTGAGGACATTTTTCCAAATCTGCAGTGAGAACATCCCAATTTTCGTCTACAGCTATGGATTTAATGCAGCCAATCAATGGCAGAGCTGCAGCTCTACAAGCTTAACCTTGACAGTTCCTCACCAAACTTGGATGGCTGAAGGTGTTCTAGCAAAGGAGCAGTCATTAGCTCCCACAGCTTGCCCGCCCCGGTGATGAGATCCATCCCAAATCGCCGAGCGATGGTAGTCAGGGCAGACTTGGCCCCTCGGTGCTGAAGCTGGCTCTGGGGGCTGCTCCCCTCGGTGAGAATGGAGGGGTCCAGGAAGAGGCCCGTCTCTGAGAAGCTGCTGGATTCTTTGCTGCGGGATCGGGCGTAGGCGGCCCGCCGGCTGGCTGCGGTAATGGCTGCTATCTACAAGGGACAAAGCATATAGACAGGTCACACTTTGCACCAGAGGCTGATGTGTAAAATATGAACCAACTTCAAACTTACAAAACACAGTGGCTGCTTTAACCTACGTCATATTTTATGTTACTGCAAGACAACTTATGACACAGTTTGCAAAAGTTACACAACATCTGCAGAACAGATGCTGATGTAAAATAAATACTGTAATTGCGTAGTCATTATAGGAGACGTAACTTACACTAAATATACTTCTACAGATAAGTTTCATAACCACTCGTCATCATCATCATCTTCCGTTTTACGTCCTTCTTTCCCTCGAAGCAGGGGTCAGACAAGTCCTCCCTATAGTTGGCTTCACTTGCCATGGGGGTCTTACTGTCCAGTGCCATTTCAGGCCATAACCTCAGGGCCCTCAGGTCCTCCTGGATGTTGTCTTTCCATCATTTCCATCGTAATTATTATAAAACCCATCACTGCTCAGCTTATTACGATTAATCCCAGAAACTCACAACTTTGTTCTTGAAGGTAATGACATACTCATTTGCAGTAAGCAAGCTTCAAAGATTCTGTACCTGTTGTTGTTTTGCTAAAGTGAGTATCCCAACCCTCTTGTCGCACTGCACAGTAGTGACAGCTCCAGGGAGTGGGGATGATGGTCTGGACCCAGCAGCACACCCAGCAACAGACGCTTTGCTGAAAACAGGTGGTCTTGTCAGGTCCAGCGAACCCAATGGCTGAGCTGCGTTGGGGGTGACGTTGGGGTCGCTGCAGAGACTGCTGCATAGGTTTTTGATGATCTTGGGGGAGGGGCAGGGGTTGCGGCTGGTGCACTGCTCCAGCAAGCTGGCCAAGCTGTTGGCAGCATGGCTCTGAAATGCAGAAAGGAATTTTCACAAAAAAGTTCAGGATACAAGAATGTTGCGGTCAAGTGATTTGCGCAAAACGTCTCAATGCTTCTTTGGAACCTGTGGAAATGGGCACGCTCAAGACACAACCATTTGTTGACCACTGGTTGACCACTGGTCAATTTTGTGTGAAGGGTGATACCTGCATGATTGTTATCTGCTCCTTTTTTATGCTGTCCATCAGGGGCTTGATGATCGGGTTGAGCTTCTCCGGCAGGGACTTCGAGGCTATCACAGCTGAGGCCAGGCATGCCTGTGTCCTGCCATCAACACCGGGATTAGAATAAAAGGTAACAGCTCTGTAAAGTGTGGACTCTGTGAAACCATGCATTCAACATATAAAATGAAAACAAACACAACCTGGATCATGAGAGGGCGCAATTTTCCTAGCAACGGAGGCTCCTTTGGTCAGAACTGCACTTCGCTAGTTCACACATGACTATGAAATGCACGCGTTACGATTGCGTCCTACCAAAAAAACGAACACTCCCCACCAACATGGCTCTTTTCAACCGATGAGGGGGCACTTCTTCTCAAGGCAGATTGAAGGACCTCTGATGCCATTCCCTGTCATGTGCCAACAGGTGTATCCTTTTCATAGCTAGAGCGTTGTGTACATTCAACCGAATATTGATGATGCACACTCCCCACCATATGCACTGATCAGCTCTTGAGGTAAGATATTGAGAGTCAGGACAGTTCATACACAGGACGAATGGGTTGAAGTGATGGTGGGGACAGTGGTGACAGTGGTGTTGGCAATGACGCTTTTGTGGGTAAAGGTGATGATGGTCAAGTTGGAAACGATCATGGTTGTGACAACAGAGAAATGGCACCTTTGATGACACAGCAAAAGATGCTGGTACCTAGCATAAACAAAAAAAATGTATAAACTACGCATACATAATGTACATATGAATGTGTATATACCTTGTACTAAGTATCTGCTGCTCTGTATTAATCTCCTCAATGCTTCCCTGGATGTGTTTGCATCTCTGCTGTATGTCTTGACTAGTCCTAGCCGGCAAACCTGCTTGAGACAACTGGCCCTGGATGGACTCCGACAGAGCGTTTGCCTGCTCCACAGTAAAAGCACTGTAGGAATCAATCAAACCAAGTAAAACATGTCTTGTGTACGTGTGCATCCACTGCCGGTGGTTTTCATCAGAGATGTATTTTGGCTGACTGTACATTTAAGAAAAGGCCCCGAATGTCACTGACCGCTTTAGGTCACCTTGATGTTTCAATGTTTGAACAGAGTAAAGGCTATGCTTACAAAAAAATTTTGGTTTTGCATTGTTATTGTTGCTAAGCAATTACGTAAGGATCCATTCAAGTGGGCCAAACGTGTCAGTGCAGCCTCTCTTTCAGCACAAGACCAATAGTGTAGTTCTGTTAGGACACTTGGGTAGGTAACCATAGCAACCTGAACAAATGGTTCACTAGAGTAGTACATCAAAATTGTCAAGAATGAATTTCTCATAGGAATGAATGCAAACTTCAGCACTTCTGTTGACAAAAATGGAGAATTTGAACACTGGCTTTAACAATACAATAATCCTAGGATCTGAATATCTCGGTCAATTACACACTGCTTTGGTACAATCTGTGTACCTACCTGGGAAACTGGACTGGCTGGACATCTTTTCTTACATCACACCATGCACTTATAAGCATCTGGTGCAGAGAAAACACAAAGGCCACACTAATTTTACTTGAATCTACTTGCAACAGTATTTAAGATGAATTTGCATTTCACAAGACTAAACTAAGCAAGCTGTTAGCTCAATGCATGCTTCCAGTTTCTGACTCAATGAGCATAAAACCCAAGCATAAACTGTGCAATGTTCACCATCTTATGAGGGAGGTAATCATTTCACCATGTGAACAAACCTTGCATTCTGACTGCATTTTCATAAAAGGCACTGACACCTCATCGAAGTACATGGTGCAGGACAGGATTTCTAGAAGTTTAGCCTTGACAGCTCCTGGACACTGGAATTCCTGAGGAAGAATAAATAGGTCATTCCGGGTCAAATCAAACTCGGAGATCCCACTCTGATATTATGCAAGCATGATGAGCACACTTTGGGCTTCCTTGTGGCAAAATTTCGAAAAAGAATTTATTCTGCAGCATTCAAGGGTTCAGAGGTCAAAATTCATTTGCTGGACCTCACAGTGGAATATTAATTTTTGAAACATAATTTACAAATAAGGTTGATTCTCCAGTTCGGAACTTTAATTTATGATGAAAATCATCTCTCACATTTCAATCTGAAAATACAGGCATTCAAAGTTATAGTGAAAATTGCCGAGTCCAGAGTTCAATGACCTCTTACTCACAAACCACATGACCCAAAACACTAAAATTTGGGTTTTTGAGTTTTCTCATTGGACCAAACAATTTCAACATATTTCAGTTAGGAAAAAAATTTAATGGTCTATCAATTCAGTCATTTTGTAAACTTCACTGAGTTAACCTACATGTCCTTGTGGGCAAGTAGCCTGATGGTTAGGGTTTGTAGCGTCTGATCATAGGGTCGGGGGTTCGAACCCAGCTAGTGGCAGCATGTTGTGATCTTGGGCAAGTCACTTTACCCCAATGTGCCTCTCTCTACCCAGGAGTAAATGGGTATCTGTGGTTACGTTCACTCGTTTGCACCTAGCTTGCAACGGCAGCATCAAGCTAGTATACTCCCAAGGAGGCTGAGATGATGTGAACCCAATGTGCAGGGATAATGATAATATATTGTGGCCTTTGTATTGCAGATACTGGTAGAAACTGTGTGCCTTATAAATGCTTTGATATTATTATTATTATTAAGACTTTATCAACTGACAGTTTGCTAACTGTTCAATGAATCTCTTGATCTGATTCCAGTGCGTGTGAAATACCTTTCTTGTCTGTGCCCATTCCTCAATGATAAGGCCAATCACCATCCTCTGTATGGCCGACTTGCTTTTGAGGTGAAAGATGAGAATCTGTGCAAGGGACTCACAGGCGTTGAACTCAGCAGACAGCCTATGGCTGGTGATGTACGGAGCAACGCGACCAAGTAACCTGAATGTTATAACATACATTGACAGCTTGTAACTGGCCAATGAACTTCCAATGAAAACTTGAACTGAATATTTTGAGTTTAGACACTAGGAGAGAGAATGCAGCATGGGGTGATTAAAATCTTAAGAGAAATCTAGAAAGAAAACGTCAAATTTTGTGACATCCTTATGCAAGTTTGGTTACCTTCATGGTTCAGTAACATTTTTGCATCTGTGTAAATAAATTTCATTAATCAAATTTCATCTCTGTGTAACATGCTCAGAAGGTTCATACCTTGCAGCCCTTATTCTAGCTTGGAGGACTACAGACTCCCTCTCAGTCACTGAGGCACTGAGTGAAGTGTCCCCTCCAATGTACTTTCTGTCGTCCTCCTTGACGGTCTGTTGGCTCTTCCAGCTCTTGCTTAGACCTTTAGATTCCTGCCCATGCCAAGAGAGGGAATCCAGGTTTTCTTAAACTATGAAACTCTTGTATCACATGTTTCTTAGGACACAATTTTTAACAGTGGACTCTTATGACAACACCTCAAGTCCAGAATTCAAATTCAGGATGAAGTCACTCAACTTCTTTTGTCAAAGTCTTACAACTAAACTGCCCAACATGGATATGATTTTTCTCAGATGAGTTTAATTTTTAATTGATTGAAATCACTGTCAAATTTCATTAAAGCAATACAACATTTCACAACAATGTTGACTGCTGTTGTTTAAACTTCCATCTAATCTGTGGCATTTGATCACACAGTGGGCTGTGAAATAAACTGTGTTAGGCCAAGGTTGGTCAGCAACCACTTGTCAAGTACTGGCCAATTTTGCCAGCTGCCCAGAATGTTTTATGCATAGGTTGTCAGTAAAAATCTACCAGTGGCTCACAAATGGTCACTGATCTAACTTGGCCCGAGTTTTATTGGTACCTTGACTTTGTGCTTAGCCTCAATCAGCATGTTCACATCAATGGGAACCCTGGAAGGCTGCATAGCGAGGCACATCCACGCGCTGATGTAAGGACACGATGCTGTCACTAGCATGTCTAGCGGGGACTTTTCCAACAAGGCATCCCACACCTAAGGGGTAAAAATTGAAAAAACAAAGTCATGTGCCTCAAAGAGTACATGGATGCCTAGCCTAGCATCTCAAGTTTATATTCATCCCTGAAGGCCACATTGTTAGGTTGCGAGATTCAATTAGCAGGAGGCACAAGGTTACGTCTCTTTCTGCTAGGAAATTTGCAGCATTGAATTTTTGACTCATACAAATCAGACTTACTTTGGATTGCAATGTACGGCTACTTGTACATCCTTTGCTGATAAAAATGTTGTGCTAGACTGATGAATACAGATTTCAATGTGCCTTCACTCAGCACAAAGCAATTTTCCTTGTATTTCAGTACTTCTTATAAATACATTTAAAGGCATGCATGCAAGTCAAAATGGGGACTTCAAGCTTTCAAAAGACAGGGGAAATAAATGAGAATCATAAAGAGTTTGGATGATTCTGACAAGAGCAACTTATTCCTTCCTCCACCAAACAAAGAGGGATTTGTGTCTTCTAGCAAACACCCATCCTGTAGAGCGTGTACCTTATCAATGAGAGCCAATATGTCAGGGTTGGACTCCAAGATACAACGCTGAAAGATGTGTCTCAACGCGTCCTGCAGTACTGGCGGAAGCCACACATCTGTTGGAACCTTCATATACACCAAACGATAAATCATAAAAACAAAGTGATTTAAGAAATGCACTCGGGCTAACACAGGGTTCAGTTACTAACATTGACTGCCCAGTCAGTGTTTTGGTTAGAATTGACAGTAAGCCCAAATGATGAATGGGAAATAAAGGGCCAGGTTGTTTCACAGGGATGTGGATCTCAATCACTGATCCCATTGCTGGTTCACTCCATCTAACAAGCCGGTTTTGGTGTCAGTGAACCAACGACGGATCACTGATCACGATCTGGAACAGCGTCAAACAATCTGGCCCAAAGGAAAACCAATATCGTTGACCTTCTACGCAAGACGTCATCACTATTCCGACCTTTTTTGTCACAAGGTTGAGCCTGAACAGCACTCTATACTAGTTGGCAAAAGATACATAGGCAGTACCTGTCCTGCTGATATCAGTTGTCAGACAAATAGAATTTTTCAAACGGAGAAACCTGTAGAAACAATGTATATGCACATATCATACATATACCTGTTGATGGTCTGCCAGCAGCAATGTACACAGCGTCTCCAGCACGGCTCTCCTGACTGATGTTATATTGTGCCGCAGGAAAGGCCAAAGTCTGGGCATCAGGGTAGTGGTGCTCTGGCCGTGGCAGACCAGGGCTGCAGGGTAGGAGTGCAAGGATGCCAGGAGGGTCATGATGCTGTTAGTGGAGGCTGTCAGGTCGTCCAGCTCCAGCAGGGTGTCCCAGAGGGTGCTCAGGATAGTGGGAACCTGAAGAGAGTAAAGGGAGGGGGAAAAGATTAAGGAGAATAACAGACCAATAACTCATAGTCAGGGTTTTGCAGTCATCTCGTGTCATGGCAAGTCACAACAGCTGTGCAAGTGAGCCATGGAAACTCTTCAAATTAACCATAAAATGGTCAAAATGGCCATTTGTCTCTGGCCAGCGCCCCCACAAGTTGTGACCTTAAGTCTTGTGATGTGGCTTCTGAATGACTAGATTACAACTCAGAAAGAGAGATTATATCAAACTTTATGCCCAACATGGGTTGGGAGAAAATGAGTAATGGACGTATACTGCCATTTGAAAAATCCTGACACAATGTAAGACAATATAAAAAAAATGCATCCATGACTTTCTACAAGCGCAAATGCAAAATTGTCTTTTTCAGTGTACTAATGCCTTAACACCAGAAATATCAAATTATTATGGAGAAAATAGGCATAGAGGTCCGACATTTTTCGTTATTCACAGATCACATCGTCAATACATTATGTATGAAAAGTGACCTAGTATCGTTTCAATTATGACATCAGATATGGTGGGGAAATGACTTAAAACTTGACACAGGAAAAAGAGACTTGAGACTTGACTTGTGGAAAAAATGACTTGATCACAGTGCTGCTTTCTGCAACACTCTTGTTGAGTGCTCTAACCTGTGCATGACACACTCTGATCAAAGCGCCAGCCACTGGGTTGAGTGAAGCTGCTGCCACTGCTCTCACATCATCATCTTCGTCCTGCAGGCCGTGCACGATGGACGGTAAGACAGCTGGTAGCAGCTCATCGGTCATCTCCTGCATTAGAGATAATTAGAGTCTCATTAGCACCTATGGGTTCTGAAGTTGCAATTTCTTGGTGAACTTTGAATGATGGTGAACTTGCTCAGGATGTGTCAAAAATAAGGCAAAACTTGGAAGCTCTTTCACAGAAAAGAAACAGAAGGAAACAATGAGGGTTAATTTTTCACTGATCCCCACTGTGGGATGATTTTTACTGGTATTTACTGAGTGGTGACAGAAAAACAGCAATAGAACCAATCCCTTAGCCGGTATCTCAAACTAGACTAATTCAATCGCCATTGGCTACAATGTGCTAAATGAGAGTAAACTGGATTAGGGGTAGCCATAATTTTTAATTCAGTTTGCTCGACAGCTAAACCTAAACCAACCTTTCTGACAGCCAGAAGGTATTTCATCCCAAGTAGACCACCGTGTCTGACCTCCCATTGCTCCTGGGACAGGAGCTGCAAGAGGACCCCCAGCACACCGTGCACACCAGCGGTGGTCATATGGTGCAATACAACCCCTAGGGCTTGGGCACAGGTTTCTCTAACTGGGGCCACAACCTGGGTGACAACCGGAAAACACAAGAATTAACTGACTGAAGGGGTGAAAATCATCAGAGTTTACAACAGATATTTCAATGAAGGAAAACTTCCAGTTACTGGCATTTAATCAAACACTCATGCCCAATAAATGATCTAGAATACAGTTTGGGAACAATTCTTGCATTAATTAATGTTTGCAGCTGAAACACTGAGAGGGGGGATTAACAAAAAAATTTACATCACACGCGATACATATCAAAGGATGCATAAGTTTGAACATAATCAACTCTTAAAAGGTGTTAAGAACCTGACAAGTACTTGACTGATAAAGAAAAATATTCCAAGAAGCCACAGACCATTCAGAAATCTTATCTTTCACCTAATTCCCTGATACAGCACTAGCTACCTGTTAAATCCAACAAAATTGAATGAGAAGGATAATGAAACCCAAATTACATAACAACTAGAGAAAAGGAGATTTTTCTCTCTAAATTAGCCACTGTTTAGTCTTGTTGGGTTCAACACGGTTATGGATTAATGTAGAAATAGGTCAAAGGATGAAGTACTGCACAAGATGACGTATACTTTATTGGTCATAAAGCTATCCTCACCTCATCTGAGACAAAGTCTCCAAAACGGTCCAAAGTCAACACACACAGTAATCGGAGTGCCATGTCTTCCATCCACATCTGATTCAAACTCTCTTGCTGGAATCAGAGAACAACAGAAACCAATCAGCACAGAAAAAAGCAATACAAGAGAAGATGCCAAAAACTCCTAAATCCTCAAGCAACATTGATCACGCTTTCATATAACCCCAACTTTAATGGGACACATCTTTGAAGTTTGAACATCTAACACTAAGATTAATACTTGCTTATTTTACTACGGAAGCTTAACACTTCACAAAAAGTCCACCCTGCCTAAACAAATACACAACAGAATAAAAACTTATTTTGAATGTCAGTTGCAGTCCAAAGCTCTTTATTTTCTGCAAACCCTTGGCTTTTTGATTCCTGAACCCTTCATGCCTTTATGCTTTCTGAGCTCACCATTTTAGCCAAGCTTAATACTTGAAATGTAAAATATTAATGGGACTGCAAAATGTCCAGATTAAACCAAAACAGCGAAAATCGTTGGCCAAATCCATAGACTGGGGTACATATTCGTTTTGTCTGTAGTTTTTGTAGTGCAAGATGGAAAAGTATGTTATTTAAATCACAGTGACCACAGTTGGTTGAATTAGGTTACATAACACATTATTATTATATTCATTCATGCCATTTCTTTTTCATCACATACAAGATAGGCATAGGAGAGGCAAAAAAGGTGACAATCACTGTGGCCAAAGACTTGCCACTCCTCATCAAGTTGTGCACAAAGTAAATAAATAAAAATATTAATATATAAAGGTATTTGAAGCCAAAACTAAAACTTGGAAATATTAAAATATAGAACAAGAATTACTGGCAATGAATAAAGATAATGTACGCAATTGAATAAATTGAATGAATAAGCAATGAATGATAAAGATACAATAAATACAAAATAATACATGTGTAAGAGAACAGTAGGTAGGTATATAATAAATGTAATGAAAGTCTCAAGGAAAACTGGCACACAACAGGCTTCAATATTACACATTTAAGAACAACTCTTTTGAGATGCTGGACACTGACTGAGATCCCCAACTGGTTTCAGACGCACTGACCTGGTCCAGGGGCTGGTCAACTGACTTGCCAGCACTCTGGCCATGCACCTTGACAACTTCCCTGATGCCAGTAGCCGCTCCATGCCGCACCTCCCAAGACTGGTGGAAGAGGTCGGTGCTCAGCTGCTCACAGAAGGAGGCAAAGGGCCACTCACCAGGCTGAGGGGTGGGCAGGAAGGAGGAGAACAAGTTAGAAAGGCCTGAGCTGGTTACCTATAGGACATATGGCCTAGTGGTTAGGGTTTGTAGCTTCTAATCATTGGGTCGGAGGAGGGGGTGTGTGAATCCTGCCGGTAGGAACATGTTGTGACTTTGGACTAGTCAATGTACCTTCACGTGTCTCTTTCCACCCAGGAGTAAATGGGTACCCACGAGGGCAGTTACGGTCGTGTAAAGTCATTTGCACCTAAAGTGGCAGCATCAGGCTACTATACTCCCTGGGGAGCTGAGATGGTTGTGGGAAATCTTCAGAGGTTGTGCGCCCAATGAGCAGGCATAATGATAATATATCGGTGCCTTTGAATGACTTTGAGGTACTGGTAGATACTATGCCCCTCTGAAATGCTCCGTTATTATTAGTAGGTGTAATGACGCAGGGCAAAATGGCATTCCTGGATTAGATTCATGATCAAATCTAGCCCCTCTAAATTCTGCTTAGGCCAAAAATTTTCCTTCTCCTCATTCCTCCAAACGGTAGGTCTACAGCTAGCCTGTCTAGACTAGATTCAGCTTGGATGGGCAGATGGAAGGTTTTGCATCCTGTTTGGTTAGGTTTTAGTTGGACAAAGTTTAGGAAAATACAGATTGTTTTAGCATGAGTTTAGTGGCTTTTTATGTGACAAGATTTTAATAGATGGTCTGGTTTGAATTGAAGTACCAGGTAAGTTGACTGTCACTTGCCTTTGTTGGGCTGGCCTGTGCAATGGAAATTTACAGGCAAAGAATCAAGACAAGTGTTCTGGGCATTCCAAGCCATGTACTAAAAGGACTATCTGTGCCTACTGCTTGATAATGATGAATCAAAAACTTCACAAAATTGTGTATGTGTGAAATCTTGACACTTTCAACCAGGGTCAATCCAGTTCAACAGCAAAGGCATATGCCCTGAATGGAAATATGTCTGCAAATGACAATAAGACTATAAAGGTGATGTACCTCCTCATAGAAAATGTTGCTGTCTGCAGGTTGATCTGACTGTGGTTTATCTGAGAATGACGACTGGCTGGAAACCTTGACAATCTTGGCCTTCTTACCGACTGGTTCATCAGCCATATTCTCCAAACTGGAGGGGGAAAAAAAGCAAAATCGTTCCACGCATCACAGGTTTTGTGAGGTCCATTTCTGAGTACAAAGTCAACCTTAATGTTGGGTGATACATTTACGAATTAAGCTCGAGAACCAAGGCAATGTTAATTGAGTACTCTGATTGGCCAATACTCCTAGTGTTGGTAGGACATTTAGGTTGACCAATCACGTGTGAAAAAAGTTACAGATATTTGCAAAAAGGACTCAGACGGGAACTGCACAAATGTATTACACACCACTTTACAGTACTTGGGAACTTACATTTCAATACTACCACCATGTTCAGAGTTCTAGAGTATACGTGTACCTGTAATGATACCAGTTTTATTTCAGTACACTTGGTAGCCAACCCTACTATGAAGTAGGGTCTCATTTTTTAGCATCTGGATAAGTTTGTATGATTAGCACTGAATTGAGTTATTGGTTGAATTCTGAGTTAATTCACGTGAGTAATAAGTGTCATGACATTTTCAATTCTTTTATAGAGGATAATCATGAACATTATTCATATCAAGCTTTAACCTACACTTTGCAAGTACATGTATGAAACACCAAGATGAAGATCTGGAAACAACATCAGAAACAAAATGTACAAAATTTTTAACTGATACATGCCGCATCACAAAGAAGTCAGCTGGTGATAGCTCTGGGTTTAAAAATTGACTTACTTTTCCATGTCTCGTAATTTGTCTGCCTAGTTCAAGTAATCCAGCATTTACGGGGCCTTCGTAAGAATCAGGCAATGGATTTTAAAAAAAAACACGACTCGTTCTATGTCTGGAAGCAGAACAAATATACCTAGGAGGGTGACTCCCATGATTTCTGTAACTGAATACTATTGGGGACAAACCCTTTATGTTTAACCTATCACAAAACTGGAGAGAAAAAAGACGATAATCCATTCAGCGCCTGTATTCATGGCAACATGTTCTGATGACGCACAACCTCGCAAAATATTGATCAAAATATTAAACACTAGTATCCAGTTTCTCAAGGGCTCAGAAAGGTGCATGCATTTCTGAGTTGGGTGAGGCAAATCATATTGCAATCTCCAATCACTCTGTAGGCTTCAGCACCTTCCACTTAGGTAACAACCTATTTAAACTGTAAGTGGATTGTGAAATTTGACACCACTCTGTGTTTGGAGAGATGCTGCATTTTGAAAAGTGAGTGGGACTGTGGCTACGGTGACTGGGACAGCAGATTTCATCTTAGGAATTCTAGACAGCATTATACCAACTCGTAGTCTACGCAGTGCACTGATTGTCATGAGAGATAACATACAAAAATCAGGTCACTTTCTGAACCTTTGGTTCCCCTGTGGTTCCAAACCAGTAAAGCTTTCATTATCCTTCCTACCAGCTTAATAGCACAATTGTGGAAATATCTTGCCACTTGTATGAATTGACAAATACATGTACACCATAAGTTTATACTCTTTCAATACAGGCATTTGAACTATTCTTGTATTTTAAGTACACGTACATGTACAAGACAAAAATTTTAATCCACACAGTTCCAAATCCTCAAATTTTAATGTTATTTTTCACACAAATAACCACAGACAAATTTTTACCCTGTCCTTAGCCATTTGAAGCATCTTCAGGGTGATGCAAACAGGAATACTAATCAAATGAAAGAGAATACTTCTATTTTCCTCTCGATGGGCAACAAGCGAGATAAAATCTAGTATTGTGGCTCGGCCAAGTACACAGCGTATAAACCAGCAGCTGGATTTGAACTCTGAACCTCAGATCACAAGCTAAAAAACCCTTAATACCTACTAGGTCATGCTTCCCCCTTAATTTACTCACACTGAACTAAACAAACTAACACATTCTAACACTGACCCGGAGCCCATACATGTAGCATCAGTGTTCTCCTTGGATCGTTGCTTAAGCAGTTGTTTGGCCTTGCGCTTGGCCCGGTTCTTCTCCCGTGAGCTCAGGCCAGCACCCATCTGAGCCATCTCCTGGGCCACAATATCTGCAGCCGAGGTCTGCCATCAAGACAAGAAATTATATTGTGTTCTAACTTCCATTTTCCATTCCACATACTTGACCATTTCTTTACACTATTGATGAGATGGCAATAACTTAGATGCACCCTAATCCCCATCCCTCCATATCTTTTGAGACCCACAAAGAGGTTTTAAGGATTTGCTGGACTGCAGACGGTACTTGTACAGTGATAAGAAAATGCAAAGAATGTGCAACTGTTTTCTACACATTGCAGGATAAGCAACAGTTCGGGAAAGTTCCATACAAAATTCCTATGAATTACCACAGTATGGATACAAATATAAACAAAAAAATACCCGAATGAAGAAAAAACCTTACTCACTGGTAGATATTGAGGAACAAACTTCATTTTTTATGCCTGGTCATTGTGAAGCATCAGCAGGTGTGCTCGAATCTGTTTGTCTAAGTTGTGAATGTTTTAACGGACATTTTGCTCGTAATTCAGGAATAATTTCATTTAAAGAAGTGGTAGTTTAAAAATTTTTTAATCAAATCGTGGAACTGGAATTAGAAAGCTCCTTCGACAAAATCTCAATGTACAACCTAAACTGAAACACAGATTTACTGACAAGACTGACCACTAGCCAACTCTGAAGAAGCACCACACATAATTTAGAGACAAAAACGTACTGGAAGTTTGAGTGTGTTACTGTCTGCCTTGGCAGTTGCCTCCTTCTTGATAAGCAGGTCTTCATCGTTAAACAACTCCTCCGAGTCCATGCCTAGGACTCCACCCACATCAAGACCCAGCCGCTTCTGTAGCAGTCGTCTCTGCTTGATGAGCCTCTCCTTGGGGTCCAGACCTGACCATGGTGCGAGATGAGAAATTACTTTCAACAGTCAAATCTTCAAAGTCAGTTATCTTTATTCCATTAAACATGTTGCCCGCATTAACATTAACCACTTGCTGCCGGGTTTAATTTGAAGTTGCATGATGTAAAACCGGGGGATTTTCAAGATTTTCCATTTTCAAAATTCTTAAAAAAATCATAAGTATATTTACTGGACGTTTACACCCACACAAATGACTGTCTGGTGGCTACTCTACTATTACAGACAACATCTACTGATGCCCAAGTATTTCAGCCAGACCTGCTGCCTGGTAAAAAGAGCCCAGATTGTGTGGTGTTACATAAGTTTCTTTTGTTCCTGAAACTGGCACAGTGAGTGACTGGCGTCTTTTCAATAGGGGCTGGATAAGCATGCAGCAGTATTGTATTGCTCATCACTGGAGCACTGGAGCGCTTTCGGCACGCTTGCACTGAATGCCACAAACAGTGGTATAATCTTTCCAAACAATGACGGATTTCCTCCGCTATTGACAACTGAAAAAATGTAAGCAATTCCCAGCAGCTCGGTCTTTTGTTCTGGGACGGTCTTGTGTTATAAAGTCCAGCTCTTTTGTCCGGTTTCGGGCTCCCCGGCTTCATGTACAAAGCCTATGTGCCCGAAACCGGGCACCCAGGCAGGAAATGATTCAACCAATTAGAAGAGATATGGGAATATCTTTCAGGCTGAATATAAAAACCATAAAAGCTTTTCATGGTTAAAGTTGCAAGTTAGTCATGGAGGTTTGCCGAAGCATAATGCAAGGATAGATGCATCTTTTATCAGCATGTGTGGTTCTGAAAAGAACAGCAGGGTACTCAACGTTATATTTACCACACAATGTAAAATGCATGGGCTGAAGTTGGAAGTTTTAAAAGAAAGCCATTAAATTTCCAAGTTTTTTCTTCTTATTAATTGCTATTTACAAAATGTCAAAAACTGCAGAAACTACCTTTTAAATGAACTAATTTGAAACCTACAACTAAGTACAGTATACCAAAAACTACGTATGTATTTGTGAGGTGGTCCATGCAAGAAAACCTTTCTTGAGGTGAAATGATTGCAATTCCTGTTTCCATTAAGTAATTCTGACTTGCAAATGGACTTCATTAACAAATTCAGCATTCCCAATACCGCAGGAAATTAACATCTGGTATTGAAGTTGACTTAATGTAAAATTGGACACAAAATTAACATGAAGAGAGCTAATTTGAGTATGAATAATTTGCAGAAAAAAATTCAAATTTGAAAGTATGGTCAATTTTTGCACCATCTGTGGTGTGAATTTCTATGGACCATAATAACTTATTACAATTTTCAGAGCATTAAAAAATAAGAAAACGTGTGCCTAGTTAAATGTACATCAAGACCAATGCATGTCTACAAAATTAAAATTTAATGCATGTATCAAATCCAAACATATTAATTTCCTGTATTTGATGATCTAATTTTGTAAATAGTGCGAATCGAAGGGTGAGACATCAGTTTTACTTTCATTACAAGAAGTCAGAGCATGTAATTGAATCCTTTTGTAAAACCAATAAATAATAAATCTTCTTTGAAAAGAAACAGGAACATCATTTGGAAATTGATACATTCCATGAAAGGCGACATTTTTCTGAAGTTCTATAATTTATTCATGTACTTAGAACATGGGGCTTGATTCCAAACCGACTGACTAAAAATGGCAGTCCACTGAATCTCTTCCTATTTTGCTGGAAACCCCCAAAAATCACTTGCGTCAGGTAAGCAAACTATCAAATGAACATATTGAACAACCTGCTGCCCGGTTGGGCCGATCTACGTCAGCAAATGGTCTAGCTTAGAAGGCCGATGATGCAATCCATTTTGGCAGCAATTTATCACCTGGCCCACAACACACCACTCAGAAGAACCACATCAACTTTCAAATTTCAGCTTAACACACCCAAGCCAACAGTGGCAATGATGGGAGGAAACGGGTACAATTCACACATAGCCAGGATGTTGATCTTTTATTTCAAAGACATGCATGTGCCTTCGCAAATGCGCCTCACCTAAATGCTACAACCTACCCCAATGTTAATTTATAAATGTGTGCAAAACTCATCATCAAGTGATTACCAATAAGTCCTGTGATTATGAAGTTTCAACTGTATCGATTACTACGCTCCAAACTCTCAGAGTTTGGGGCTTCCTTCCTGCTCTCAGGTGCAAATTCTTCTCTGTGACAACAGGTGTGCTCTAGAAAATTGACATGCGGGAAAAGAGGGTGAGTCACGTCTGGTGTGCATTTTTAAAGGGACTGCTGGGCTAAACTCGTACCCTCAAATAATTGTACAAATAGGTATACCTAGCAGCTGGGAAACAACTTTGGTCCAACCAACTGACAACCGGAAGACCAGTATGACACCAATCGATACCGCATTACGTTACAATATTTTTGATATTTAAACTACAATGTTTAATATAGCAGCACCATTTACATTACTGTCCTATTGATCAATTCCTCCTGAAAATTCCCCAAAGCAATTTGCTTTCTCCTCCTCAAACTATACCATGCTATGCCCATTTTCAACAAAATGGCCAAGTTCAGTCAATGACCATTTGTCAATTGGTTGATGACATACACACATCAGGCAAAATGACTGATTTTAGTCGCAAAGCCATTGCTGTTTGGCGACTGTCTACTCAAAATAGATTTACTCCTTAATTGGTGGCAATTGGGACTAGGCCAGCCCCATGTAAAAACACCACTGTTTGTGTGCCCGTGTGGCTATGTAAATACACTACTGATTTGCAAATAAAACTTAGAGACAAGTATTCCTTATCATTGGAGGCACATGAACAAGCATGTTCCACATCACAATAGCGGACAGACCACACAGGAACTGAGGATATTTCCCCGTCCTCACAGGTCAGTTTTTGTCCTCAGAGCTATAGTCTATGTCACAGTGTAGGAATAACGGGAAACACAATGACCACTCTTCAATGGTACAAGATGACACAAATAATGTGCACACATACTCCCTATGTGCTACCTCAAGGGAAATTGTTGCTAGAAGAAATATCTTCCTCCCTCTTTCACACACAAACTAAAGCCAAGAGAAAGGGAAATATGGAATTTCACCAAAGCCATTTGAGTCCAACAGAAAACTAATAATCTGTAGGTACTGCTACATATATACAAAAAATGGAATCTCTTCTGGTAGGACTTGTAAGAAGTAAATGTAAAAGTTATTGTCAAATATTTGTGTGAATTTCGGTTGTTAAACTTGACTCATTCCCATCTCACCTGTCTCTTCCAGGTCCAGCTCATACTCAGTTCCTGCCGAGCCAAGCAGCGACGAACCATGTCTCAGGACCCGGTTCACGTCAAATTTGTCAAACTTGAGCTGGTCGGCCTCCCGCTCTTGGTGGACAGGTGTGGCAATGCGTGGTCCGCTGCTCCCAACTGAACCCTCTGAGAAAAGCAACATGCAAACACTCACACACCGCACATACTTGGTACATTTTTCACCAAGAGTTTGAAATGATCAGCCAAGAATTACAAACCTTTAGTTGATGACAGAGCTTGAAAGGAGCTTTAAAAGGAGGCCGAAAAAAAACCTTCAACTGAAATTTTTGGAGGTATTAAATAAGCAAGTCCAAACTGAAGAACGGCAAAATCATCCCCTAGAATCAAAGCAGGGGGGAGCATTCAGTGACGCAGTACTATGAGCACATATGCATAGTGTCTACGATAAAGATATACTGTACAGGGTGAGTTAATACCACCATACGCATTGTACTACTTAATGTGCCCAAGGTCTGCTTGCATAAAAGTCAAGGGCACAGTTAAAGTACTTTATGGCTATTCAATATTCAGGAACGACTAAAATGAAGGATATACTGACCTATAAAACCCTTGTCATCACAGAATCATTACAAATGTTAATAGGTTTTGGTTACTGTTTTACATATTACTGCATTTTATCATTCCCACAATTTATTACCAAATATCAAGAATTTAGTTTAACCATTTATTTTGGATCAACCGGTAATTTGGCACAGCTACCATTCAATCAGCACAAAAAATGCCCCCCCCTTTTCTGACCGACTGACCCTATTTTTGAGAGGCATTTAACTGGAAGCACAGCTTTTTTCTTCTTGGCCTTATAACTTCGATATGAAAATAGTGTAGTATCCTGGATATTAACGTGATGTTTCTTGAAGATGCAACATGTTAACAAACCCTCCACCTGATTAAGTGCTCAATATCTGGACATGGAATTTTTGATTTTCGGACTGAATTTCAAGAAAATGGAATTTTTCACATGGTTTTTACTGTAACCCTTTTTAAGACAACAGTACAAAAAATCTGAAGGAATGATTTTAAAAGCTCACTAGAAAGACATTTACCAGCACTCCAAGATACATAAAAGCATACTTCTTGAAATAAAAAATTAAAAACGAAACAAAAAACAAACACAACAAAATAGTAAGACTGTTCACCTTCTTTGATCTTCTTGATTGGTGCCCAGTGAGGCACATGCTTAGCTACTGCTTCTATGGCTTGACCAGCGGCTATTCTCGTTTCCCAGGTGGAACTCCTCAAATAAAAGTGAATCTAAAAAGAAAGTTCAGAGAGTTTCTGGCTAAAAGCAACACAAAACTTCTCAACATGCAACATGCTACAAGTAGCTTTTCAGAAACTTTGATCTGAAAACAAAATCCTGAATAAAAAGAAACTCCAAAATGGCTGCACAGCAGTCGAGGTCAATCAGTGAACGTTAGTCAATCACAAGCTCAATTTTGTCTGGTTCCAAATATTCGTATACACTTTTGTGCATAGATTACCAGTCAACAAAATCGTTGCTGATCGAACCTGGCCTATGCAGTTTGCACTTAAGGAAGTGGAAACAAAACTGACCTTTGCGAGGAGGTTGTGGAGTTCATGTGGGTGGAGCTTTTGCACCTCCCCCAGTTGCTGTGCTGCCGCCTGGCGAGTCACTGGGGTGGACCCAGTATCCAACAGAAGGAACAGGCGATCCAATCTGCAGATAGACATGGTTACAGATGCTGTGGTGACACTGTTATTTTGTACATACGTGTACATCACTAATACGTTACACCATAATCTCACATTCAGTCCTGCATAACACCTAGTTCAGATCATCATGGAATTGTTTACACATCCTTTGCTTTTATACATTTCTAATTTGTACACAGCATGCATGTAAATATGAAAAAAAGCCTTTGGTGAGATAGCATATACACCTACCTTATGACAAAACACAGGCCACATTATCAGCTTATCACCCACATAAATGTAGCTCCTTGTTAAATTGTGACCTGGAAAAAGCATGCATCTGCTACGTACTTCAGGTCACAGCGAGCAGTCGATACTGCTGAATAAATCCTACCCTAGGATTGTTGGTACATGTACATACATACAAGTAATGGGCACCAACTGACCGCCCACAGACGGGTTTTAAATAACCGCCCACTTCAGTATACAATTACTAAGCTTTATAATAACTACATGCATATGGTCTCAATGACAAACGTCACTTTCTATTCATCAGAATTTTCTTCCTTTTAACAGAAAATTAGAAGCATTTTCAAGAAAGTGGCAATGAGTATTGCAATATACTGTAACAATGAATTATCAAATTACTCTTGTGCTAAGACACTGCTGGCTCACAACACGCCCACAGTCTATTCAAGACAAGAATTTGAGCTCTTGCTACCATGCGGGGCAGTCATCGAGTGCGTGGGAAGAAAATATGAAACGGCATATATGTTTTCTCTGGAGCACAAAATTGAGTGGTGGGCATCAGAGCTAGCTCAAATCAATGATTAAAATAATCATAGTAAAGGTTGAAAGATTTTTCTGAGAAGGTTTCAGATGAAATTACGAAGCAAATCCGACTGCCGTCAAAGATTAATATATGTAATCTGCATAAATTACACACCCGACAAATGTTTGATGCTTTAATCATAGCCTGCTGTATGCACACAAGTACATGTGTATCTCAGTTCAAAATAGTAATTATAACATAATCTACAAATTTTTATTTGTCAACAAACTTCCCCTTTAATCCTAACACTCCCAAATCCTCCAATTTCAATACGATTTTACATACACCCTAGGGGTTAGGGTTAAGCCAAATGCAGCATTTCCCCAGCCTTTTTTGGACAGGATAGGGAACAGGGAGCTCTCCCTCCCTTCAAAAAAATAGCAGCCTAAATATAATGCTATATGTGTTCAACCAAAAAAGAGCAGTCGGAATTGTTTGCAATTTCCTTGCTTTTCCTCGAGTCATTTAAGTTCGTCCTCAAAGACATCTCAAATCGGAGATGAAAGTTTGTGCGCAATCTCTTTCGTGAGTGAGAGAGATGCTGAAAGAGAACTACTGGTCCCCCAATTCATGAGGCTATGGAAAGAGCAGCAATACATGCAATAACACGAGTCAGGTTTTGCTGTCACTTGAAGTAACATTGTGAGGTTTTATTTTCTGCAAGTCTATCAGTCGCCTCAAAGGACTATTAAATAATGATGGCAGACTATGGACTACCAGACCAAGGGTTTGATCCACTGTGCGGGAAAAAACTCTTTACCTTTCTCCAAACTTATCAGTTTTCTTTCTTTTACTGCTTTTAATGAAGTACTAAATATACTCAATGAAATGAAACTTTTCTGCAATTGATATACCAGTACATGTAGCTTTAGTCTGGAGAAGCTTTTCAACAGTTTAAAGGGAGTGCATGTATAATCTGAGAACCAATTTTCCCAACTGGCGAATGCACACTGTTGCTGTCGTTGCTGTAGGTTTGTGAAATTGGGATTACAAACTAGCTCAGTAGCTGACTGTAAACTAAAGAAGCAACACAATTAAACAAGCTAAATTAAACAATGTTACTGACTTGATAAAACTGCAACGTCCAAAAAGAAAGGTATTTACCTTGTTGTCATTGTAACCAGTGTTTTTGATGACTTGTATTGAGCTCAAGACAAGAGGTTGAAGAAGCTTCAATCACCAACAGCATGAATCCAAAGTCAGAGCCAGTGGAACTTAATTACAACACACTGGATACAGTACAAAACACACACACATCTGCTGTAAAACAGCTTTTATTTTATGCACCAATAATCAATTACTCTTAATACTGAAGGCCATTTTATAGCCAGTGTGACCGACTATAAACTGGCCTGCTCATGCCCTGTGAACAGGCAAGACAGAGTTTTGGTGTTTATTTTTTGTGTACTTTGCCGGCATCAAGTTGCAGTTTAGGTTTTTCTAGACTGGTGCTGCACTGATACCATACTGGTATAATTGCTCAATCCCTTTGGAGAGGAGTGACTGCGCGACAGAGCATACATGTACATGTAAGTCGGGCATTCAACTATGGAGCCAGATGTGAGCAACTGCAGTTCAGTTCCTGAGTCAGAGCAGCGGATTGCAATTTTTTTTTCTCCTTACCCAAAAAAGTCACAATAGACCACACTTATTTTGCCTACAACTTGTCTTGGTTGGCCAAAAAGTACAGAAATATCACCTTTTGGTTGGGTTTTGATTTAAACTCAAATTCATTCAAAATGGATATTTGTGCAATAAATTTTAAATAGGGGTTGTATTTTTCAATTCGTATTCATTATCTGGTATTCTGATAGCTGCTTCGAGTTTTTAATACTTTGTGAATTATTCTTGTATATTTATACCGATGGCCAACCCTAGTTTTAGCAGCCACCTGTAGGAAAAACATGACTGTGACGTCAAAAGTTAAATGAAGTGATTTGCATTTGTGGGTAGTATGTTAACGGGGAACCTAATTCCTGAACGGGCAGGTACCAGGGTACCACTAATTATTGTTGAAATAATTAAAAAAAGCAAGGTAGTCAAGTGTGCAGTCACATGACCTTTTCTTCTGTTGTCACATGGCTGCTGCAGAGTCAGCGGCTGGACTGACTTTGTGCCTGAAAGCCAGGATTTGTTGCCATTACAGGTTGGTTTGGTTTATGCAGATGAAGATTGCTGCAGTAAAATTTCTCAGTTCCCATGCAAGTGCAACAGCAAACATACATGTATACCGATGTGAAGTTAATTCCTTGTTCAACGTTCAATGTTGAACAAGTAACCATTTGAAATTCCAAAATTGAATGGTCGAGTTCGGGCGGCCTGTTCTTGACACGGGTTTCTTGTTCTCGCGCTCTAACGGCGGGAACACAACTCAAGAACACTGTTCTCGGAACAGGATCACACACCACCTCCTCGTCAGGGTTTTACAGGAACACACGGAAAAACTCGTGAGATTTTGATTTTTTAACATCTTCAAAATGTAGAGAGATGGCTTCCAAAGCCATAGACAATGGAAAGTTTTGCAAAATTAACACTAATTATTTTCCGTAACACAGAAATGAATGTTCCTGTTTCTATAGAAAAGAATTCAGCCCATCCAAACATTAACTCTCGAATAATGTAGCCTACATGGACGCCGCCATGTTGCATGTCACTAACTACCACTGGTAACCGGTTGTTTGTTCCCAGCGTTCGAGTGGCCAACCCACGAACAACAAATCGAGCTGTTCATGAACATACGAGAACAAGCTGCCCGAACTCAGCCAATAAGTACCATTTGACATTCAGGGTGCACAGCCTTAGAACTGATGGAGTGCAAATGGGACAAAAAAAAATGCGCAAAAATGCACATTTACATTGTATGTGCCATTTCACAATGATGTGTACAAACACAACTCTCTCCCACAGAGGCAGCCCTAGGCATAGGGTTTTTTAAGGGTCAAACAAATCCTGAAATGTAGACGACAGTTTTTATTGCAGTATAATTATTAAAGGAAACATAAAGGCTTGTTTTATATACTTGCTGTTTCATCGAAGCTATTTCAGTCAAATACATGTACATGTAATAAACATCCATCCAACAGCCTGGCTAAAAACTTCTTCAAAGTGCTTCTGTACTTTTTAGTGACCCTGTTGCCTCCATTTCAACCACGGCAAAGGCAGTTTTCAACGGTCAAAACGGCTTTGATGAAAGTCTTGTCGGTGGAGTTCTTCGCTTGCAAACCGGAGTGGGATAGTGAATGCATCACACCACACTAATCTAAAATCAGTAGGCCTACCCAAGCCCCCCAAGCCCCCCACGCCTTGCCTGGAGATTACATTGAATCTGATGTCATTTTTCTGAATTGGCAACGACTCCTAGCAACCCGGGGCATGGCATTTTTCCTGGTCAAACAAGCCCTAAAATGTAGTTGGCACAGTTTTTCTTCTCTTTTTGCACACAATCTCTCTTAGGGATGTGCATCCTGAATGCCAAACGGTTACTTAGGCCTATTCAAAGTTAGGCCCTAGGCCTACTTGTTCAACACTGAACTATTGAATGTGGAACGTGAAACGAGGAAAAAGGAACTAACTTCACACCAGAGAAATAGCATTACTAAGAATGGCTCAATCACGGAAGCACGGCGAACGAATCGATGAGCCCCACAGTTCTGGGGATAAGGCAAGGTGCCGGCACAAAACACAGTATGTTTAGGTGCATGCCTGCCAACATGTACGTGCACACGGTACAGAGGTGGACTGTCACCATGAGGAAGGAGATATATATGCATCCACACGTATGAAGCCAAACCACGGTGGTTGTATTTGTATTGAGCATGCCCAATGTGTATTAGACTCGCGTTGCAGCCATTTATCGATATATCAACAGTAAAAACACCATCAACCTGTGTGAATTGCAGTGGTCAAGCGGTTACAGCATAATGGTTTGTGATGCATGGGGTGTGGGTTCGAATCCCGGGACAAAATTGTGGCCAGGGAGGTTTTTTTTAAGGAAAATAAAGCCCGAATGTTATAGGAGCTTAATTTCACACGTGAAGTTTTTATGGTTGGTTGAGCATCTAGATGTCATGCATTGTGCATGGTCGTGAAGGTTACGGGAACCGTGGTTTGGCTTCATACGTGTGATGGCATATACATGTATAGCTCTGAGGAAGGAAAGGATTGCTGGATGTTGTATGATGTTGCAGACGATCAAATGACACATACTGCAAACATAAAGAGCACACAGAAACATGAGCCTGTAATTGGTCACATCAGTCCAAACATCAGTTGCCTTTCTATACTACTTACGTCGGTCTAATGTGGAGAGAATGTATGGAGAATTTCGTTGATTTTACAACATAATTCTCTTAACAATCTGGAGGCCTTCAACAGCGGCATATTTATGGTGGTCCAATTCCCAGACCCCCTAATGGATTGATTTTTGCCATAAGGTTATTGCGACCGGGGTCTGACTGCTAATAATAAACTGGATACCTAACCTCAGCAGGTATTAGATGAGCAATCGATTGTAAAATAGTAAACGTTGATTGGACACGTTGTATGACCCTCTCGGTTACACGATTGATCTGTCTTCGCAAGCGTGAACGATCAACGTACATTGTTCTTAATATGTAAATCAAATGAGTACGTAAAAACAGTTAGCAGGAGTAGAAACTGCCTGGAAAAGGTGACCCTTCCACGCACGGCACAATATAATACTAATCTGGCACGTTGCACGTGTGGTAGTCGCGTCAGGACTATCACTGGCGATTAAAACATTTATTTACGGGAGACAAAAATGCCGACAGATAGGTACAGGCAAAAGCATCCTAAAAATCGGCAGACGAAGACGTATTTGGTATTTGATGAAGAGAAGAGGAGGTAAATGAATGGCAGTTTTCAGTGGATTTTGTGTTGGCCTAGGTATCATATCATGGCTTAGCTTTGGCTACTGAATAATACAGGGAGGCTCATAAATTTTTCAGCTATTTTTTCTGTTTTCTTTTTGACATGATCTTGGAAAGAATGTCATAAGAAACATTTTGATATGTTTGGATTCCAATGGTCCCTGCAAAGCAGAGAAATATTGATTGAAAGTAAGGATATTTTGAGATGTTTTACTAGGCCTAGCTGTCATGCCTTTTGGGACATTTTTTGTACATGTGTGATGCAGAGCAAACTGATTTTTTGTACACAAAAACGAGTGTGGATTTTGACTGAAAAGCTTAAATAAAATCCATATTTTCATAAAAGCTTGGTTCTTATTCGTACGTTATTTAAATAACTTAAATGTTGAATTAAATTAAACGTACTCAGCGTGCTCTGCGTCAAATGCCCAGGAACTTGCGTGGCAGTGCCGTGAATACGTACAAAGGACTGTCAATTTCATTTCAAAACACGCTCTCTTTTGTTCCTGCTCTGAGCGGATAGTATACGGACCCCAGTAATTATTCCCTACAGTGACCCATTAGCCGTCCGAGAGCAAAAACATGTCTAGAAAAGTTCAGTTTAGGAGGGAAAAAATCAAGTAGTTTAGTTAGAAGACTCAATGTTTCAGACCAGGCTCATAGGGTTTGCGCACATGGTATTAAGTGGCGTCCTTACATGGACCTCCTTGAAGCATGGATTGAAGCATGGATGTTTTGAGATGTTTTGCCTTGGGATGTTTTTGTACACGTGTAATGCAGAGCAAACCACGATTATTTTGGTACACAAAATGACTTGATTTTGACTGAAAGCTTAAAATTCATATTTTCGTAAAATTTTTGTTCTTACAGTTTTGTACATGTATTTATTTGTTCTTATTTAGGTGAATTCAGTGCTGGCTTCAATTAAATTTGAAAATTTTTGAAAAATGGAAGTAAACAAGCCTAGAGGAGCCACAGTGTGCGGAAAAAAAGACAAATTTTAATCATAATTTCACATTAAGAAAATGAGAGCCCAAATTAAAACACCCTTACCATGTGCGGATCCCCCCTCTCTGGGACAAGAAACCCCCCTTTCCCGGGGGGGGGGCTGTCACAGGGGGGAGGCAAAGCACTCATTAGCAGACCTGCCAACCTAGCTGTATTCCTTCCTGAGGTCAGGCATTACCACATAATAGATTAAAATGTATTCAAATGAGCCTTCACTTCATTTAAATTTCTAATCTACATGTATTGTGTGGTAATGCTGACCTCAGGAAGGAGTACGGCATGTTGGCAGGTCTGCATTAGCAAGGAATTGATAAACTTCATGTATATGTATTAACAGCAAGCAGGCTTGATTTACTAAAGCTGGGGCCTACAATGTACATGTAGCTAGAGCCATACATCATGTACAAGTCCCTTCAGTACTAGGCGACCTTCTGTGGAATTTGTAACTGTATGTTGGGATAACGACTCCATCCATAATATCTGTGCTGAGAATGAGCTGATGGACTCACAGTAGGGAAAAGGCTCCTTATTCCTCCTATCAAAGCAGAATGAGGAACCTCATAGTTCTACACTATTCTACATGAAGATTTGAGTGTCATGTAGACCTTTTTCCCCCCACGTGACTGGATTGCGCTAGATGTAAACAATACCACCACGTGTGGACTACCTTGGCCACAGTGATCGCATGTATTCCTGTGGGCATGCGGCATCAACCATGTACAAGCATGGAAGAAATGGTACAAGCACTCATGTGAACACTGCATGCTTGACTAGATTATCTGGAATAAGCAGACTAGATTACCATCACAACACATTGCCGTCCAGCACAATTGTGACATCACCGGGGAACAAAGGTCCATACTGGTACTCCAGCAAGTTCCCTGGAGGCTTTTAGTGAAGCAGTGGGTTCAGTAGGGGAACAGGTTTATAAAGTAAAGTAAGTGTGTTGGTGTTCAAATGACACCTGTACAGACTGATGATCTGATATGAAACTTTTATCATTGTCTGAGCGGTTGGCAGTGTTTGATGGTGTAAGACCAAATCTGCACAGTTGGTTGATCATGTGGGAACTGGTTTGTGTACTATGGACAATTGCATAGAACATTTTGCAAAGCAGAGGCTAGAGTTTGCGGTGAATCTAGCATGTCTAGCAATTGCACAAATCTTTCCTTGCATAGCTGATTCATGGACATTTATCCCACATATTTTGGCAAACTGCCCTTTGCTCTGCATCTCACTGAAAAGTGGATCACATGATTACCCAGCGTGATTTCGATTTTACAGATCCACTTCGTTGTGTACTCAAATGACCACAGGTGGATGATTTTTGTGAATTTGTTGGACATATTTTCACTCTTTTACAAACAGCATTTTCAAACTGCATTTTCCCGTGTCGCACAGGGATTTCTTGACTGGCTTTCAGAAGCGAAAGAAGGAGAGGAAACGAGTCGCTAGGGAGCAGCAGGAGCTGAAGCTCAAGGAGGAGAAGCAGAAACTGCGTCAGGAGACAAGGAAAGCCAGGCAGGCTGGGTGGCGGGAGCTGCATTTCCCTGGTAGGTGTACTCGGGAATGTAACAGTTCATATATTTGTGATTCTCAGTAAATCAGCCGGTTGTAATGTGAGTCCAGTCCATTGACAGTTAATACATCAAAAGGGTTGCAATAGCAAAAGTGTAGGAAAAAAGGACTATACAATTATGGTGTACCAGTAGAAGCATACATGCATATGGTACATTTCTGTTCGTCCTTTCACACATCATTCTGCCAGACTACTTAATAAGATTATGTTTTCACTTTAAATTGTTGTCTCACTGACTGGTACAGTATGTTTAAATTTCACTTGTTAAATGAGACGAAAGTACCTTATATGGAAAGTAAAATTGCTAAATCTGTATGGTGTGACAGTGTAGAATAATTTCATTTTGATGTCCCTTTAAAATTCACATGAAACCTGTGCAGTCTTTGAAATAACCTTGTCTCCTTTAAATGATTCCCATGCTGCTGAAAGATTAAGGAATATTTACCTGTACAACTGTACCTCTGTTTCTTTCTATCATCTTTCTATCATCTGCAGATGAAGACACACCAGCAAGAGACAAACAGCCGATAGTCTATGACCATGCCGAGCACACAGTCACTGTCGAATCGGTCGGGGGAGTCACAGTAGAAGCCCTGGATCTGTTGGCAGCACACGGTGGCATCGGGGAGAACAAGGTAGGATGCTGACGCTCTGCCTCTCATTCTTGACCTCTGTGCAAGAACTGTAATGGGCTCATTTTGATCTTGTCAAATGAGCGAATGAGGACACAGTGCGCGCTTTAGCTGATTTACCCAGCAAAATGACACAAAGTGCATCATCTCAACTGATTGCACCAAAACCTTGCAGTGGAAAATTCCACCAGGGCATGAACAAGGTAAAGATGGCACCCAAATGCCCTTCAGGGACAGTATTGTCAGTTACACACCGATGTAGTGTGTCTTAAAGTGATTTTGTTAATTGTTAATTTCTCAGTTGTGTCTTTCTTCTGAAGATGGAATATGAAGATGACGATGATGCAAAGGAACCTGCACAGTCTCGACTCAAAGCATTGGCAGAGTATGAGGATGAGGATGATGAGAGTGATGAAGATGACAAACAAGTCCCCGAGGAGAGAGAATACAAACAAAAAAATCCGGCCAAGAAAAAGAGGTAAATTGTTACAAATTCACAGAGATGGCACCATGTCATTTCACTAGTCACTTAGCCCAGTCACTGAGTTGCAAACACTCAATCACAGGTCAATTCAAGTTGCAAGTCAATTAGTCCAAACGCAAGGCAAGTCACAAGGCTTCTTGTCGAACAATACATCAAGTCATGCATTATTGATCCCATCCACGCATCAGCACAGCAGACCGAACTGGAAGTCGAAAGTTAAAGTTGGAGGTTCTTTTAAATGCACACAAGCCGTGAAATAATAGGCTTAGATTGCTGGAGTAACTTCTGACTGCTGCTGGTAACAAGTCATTTTTTGTAAGTTAAATCTGGATCTGGTCGTTGCACATCAAGTTACAAGTCACCAAAAGTGTTTTAAGTCCAAATCACATGTAATTTTGGTCATCACATTCTGCAGCGAAGGGTCCATTGATGTACACCGTGTATTTAGTTCTGTCATCTGCCCTGAGGTGAAGTGGACCGTCACCAGCAAAGAAACAGGCTTGTGGGAGGTTTTCCAACTTGGCTCGTGCATGGGGTCTGACGCACATGCACAGACCATAAAGAGAAATTGGATGTATGTGCTCAGCACGTCCCACATAAACACTCATAAAACTGCGTGCATGCAGTGAGCTCCCACTGAACGACTGTTGTTGGTTGAAAACACACCCTCTCTTGTTCCTGCTTGGAGAAGATAGCAATTGCCTATATGCAAGTAATTTGCATACATTTGTATTTACAGTATGCCATTCTTTGTTCCACTTGAGAGCAAATTATTAAAGACTAAGAACATAACATTGAAGTTAGCAGCATTGCCACAAGCATTTCAGTGGATTTGCAGATTCTGTGATCTGTAGTCAGGGCTGGTAGTGGATAAATGACACACTCCTTATTTTGTCAAGCAAAATTTTCAGTTTTGTGTCCCTTTTGTCTCGTAGCTCCAAATTGCAAAAGCTGCAGAGTAAACTCAACCGGAAGAAACTGGGGCACAGAGGCGGCTCTTCAGCTCGACACAAAGGTGGTCTTCACAAGGGAGCAGCAAACACTAGAGGTGTTAAAAGACTCAAGACTCAAGGGAGGCACAGAGGAGGGGGTTATGGTGCAAAACGGAGATAAACTATTCCGATGTACAGCTGCGAAATTTTTTATAGTGACACTCTTGCAGCTAACTCAACTTTCAAGAAGTGATGACAGTGCTCTTTCTTTGACCAAGCAACCGGGACTTGATTTCATGACACTGCTGAGTTCTACTTTTTTGCAAACTGCCAAGTTGTGATATTAAATTGACAGCAAAGGGATTCAACAGTCCTTATTCTTTTGTAGGAGTGCAGTTTTGTGGAGAAACTTATTTCTGTAATGGCTATCCAAACACTTCAGTAAACTCACTCCAACCTGGTATCTGAAATCCTCCTCTAGGTTTCACAGCATATCAATGGTTTTAGGACTGTCCAGCTCAGCTAATACTTTACTTGGAGCTTTAAGTCTTGATGCCCTCAAGGACAATTTTAGGAAGATTCCTACTGGTAAAGCAAATAGATTTTTGTCATAACTTTGAAAGTTTGTCAGTCATATTTAGTGTACTTGGTTAGTATTTCTCTTGAATGTATGTATTAACAGCAATTACCATCACGGTATGTTTGCAGCAAACTCAAGACTTTAGTCTACAGTTTTTAAGCATTTACTTTATTCCTCAAATAATACACAGATGTAATACACGCTCTGAAAGTACTGTACAAATTTGGTATCGGTTTTCAATTCGAGCACAACACGAAACTAAAGTTGAATTTACATGTACACTGTACAAAACATGTATGTCCACTGTATTTCATAACACTCGGGCAGAATGAAGAGTTGGTCATGACTAAATTCATGTAGATTCAACCCCAGTACCTACTGGAATATAATGTAATTCATTTAGTACAATGTCCTGTGGTAAAAATCTCAAGGTATGAATGTGGTCCGGGAAACCTTTTTTTTTTTTTCAGTTGAAGCTGACATAAAGCTGCCACAAATTTACAACACATTTTGTCAAGTACATGTAGTTTAACACCATCATGAATTTGTATTTAGTGCAAGAAAAATGCCAGTGGATTGTTGCACACAGTTTTGGACGGATGTTGGGAGACCCACAGCACATGTAAACCTCACAGCGAGCCAGCGTTAAAATTGTTGCAGTTAATCCTGTTCTTAAATCCCGCACAGAAAAAGGCAACAAAAAGGCCAATCCATGGACACTAAAAATGCTTTTTTGACCCCTTCTTAAAAAAAATTCTCAACATAGGCTTCTCCTTTGACATGATCATAAGAGAATGCTCAGCAATTCAAATCCATCCTCACTGAAGGAAAGAGCAGGCCGCTTCCGTTATTATACTCCCACTTTTAATAATAGTCTATGAATTTTAACCCGCACCCTCTTCTGACACATCAGGAATAAATAAAAAAAATATTGTACATAACATATACATGTATACAACAATATTATTTAATGATTATCTACACAATTCCTGCCATTCCATCAGTTGCCATCCCCTCCCTCTGTGGGTACTGGGTTTATGGTCTGTTGTTCTTTAGCTTGGATGGCTTTGTGGAGTTGTGCTGTGCGCTTCTTGTCAATGACTTCCATCTCGCGCAGTTTCTATAAAAATAACAATCAAACGAGCTTTATGAGAGAAAAACTGATCAAGACTCCCAACTCCTCCGAAAACAGCTGGGTCAAACTTTTATACTTTTTTAGACTTTAAACTCTTTTTACTTTCTTATTTTGAACTTAATTTTTTTAAATTCCCAGTTGCATACCCGATTAACTCTCCTACACAAGTGAGGTAAAAGGCAAAGGAAATGCAACTGTGGAAAGCCAATGGCACTACGTAACCACTTGAAATCCCAACCACCCAGCACTAGAGCAACACCGTCCACCAGCTGGTTTTACTTACCTGTGATATTTCTGTGGCTATGATGGCTTGGTACTCTTTGCCTTTGCCTAAACGGGTCATGTCTTCCAGAAATTCAGCCCGCTCCCTAATCTCAGCCTCCACTGTTGATTTGGACAAGAAAGGACACATCATGATTCTGTCAAATACTGATTCCATCAAACTTTCTAAATTTCATTGCCTTAAATAAACTGCAATGGTCAATTGGGCTATTGTTAATTCAGATATTTGCCATTTAACCAGAAAACTCCAAGATCACAATTGGAAAAGGAGAATGTAAAGAAAAAAAGAACAGATCAAACATAATAAACTTAATTTTGGTTTTTTACTTAAAAACAAAGTTTTTTAATTTTAATGAAATGTACTGCATGTACAGCCGCTAAGCACCACTGGAAAACTGTCCCACTGAGAAGTTTCCATAGGATAAATGAGAAATACATACATAAAGACAAGACAATACAAACTCCAAATCGAAATTAGTTCCAAATTCTTACATTCAGTGAATCTATCTGGTTCCGGTTCTGGTGTCGGAGCCTGGAGTAGTTCCTTCCTCCTCTCTTCTGTGACAGGTGGTTTGTCTTCTCCAAACGCCATGATGTTCTGTAACCTACCCTTCTCCTTTTCCAGCGATTCTGCAAGGAGAATTTCATTGACATTATAAAAATAACTACATGGAAAATATAAGGTCGAGACCACACAATAGAAGTTTAAAAAAAAACACAAGTATCTTTCTAATTACAAGCTCCTCGAGCAAAGGGGTCCAAGCTACAAGCACTTGGACCCATTTCATGAAGCAGCTATGCATAAGTCAAAAATACTGCTCAGAATATATACATACATGTACTTAACAACAAAAAGAACAGAAAAATACCACATGTATTTGATTACCAACTAATTTGACAATTCAGCAAGGTTTCTTATTTCTTTTCTGATTGAGCACTTTTTAGTCCTAGAAATGTAAACACCTATGAGCGCAATGCAATTTTTTCCACAACTCCTACAAACTCCAACTTCTACAAAAGAAGTAAGTACCTCTCTGTAGCATGTACAGTCAACTGGATCAAGGTTCTGTTATCCGTTTGACACCACCATGTAAATGAACTCAGACCCAACACGATTGAAAATTGCAATAAATTACTTTTGTATTAAGCACACTGCATTGTTTGCCAACCCTCACTCCCAGGTCATTTGGGGTTAGAATCGTATAATCCACCGTCTGAATCCTCAAGTTTAGGACACTTCTTTTAGGACTTCACTACTACTGCAGATGTCAAAAATAGACGTGTCTGGGCTCTACCTTCCTCAACCTCGGAAAAAGTGTTCCTCAAACGTCCAAGCAGATTGGAATCAGAGGTGGCACACAAAAGCTTTTGAATCCAGAACTCACTCTGTGGGCTAGGTCTGTACTGTTGTCTCTCATAGGCCCCAGAGTCTTCAATGTCTTCTTTCTTCCTCAGCCCACCACTGTGACCCCTAGGGTCAACCCGGATACTCTTGGGTTTGGCTGCAGAAGGGGCACATGGCTTTGCACTAGTAGTTGGATTACATCTCATTGGGAGTGCACCTCCCCCTTCAAAATAAACAGATATTTTACAACGGAATACAAACTCGAAAACATTTTGATTCTTTAACGTAATAAAAGCATTGAATGCAAGTCTAACATGATACATGTATGCCATCAATCTTTGTTTTTGCAAAACTTGAAAGTCTTATAAAGGTTCAAGTTTGATTCAATAAAAATCTCCGCTCACAATGATGGATTCTATCAAAAGTGATTTTGTATAATTATCAAACTGATGAAAACTGAAATGTTTAATGTTCAACATCTGAGAAAAGTCACTCGCAGGGTACAAATCTTTACTCAAAAAATCTTCTCTTTGGTACAAACTGTACAACTGGCAATTCCAGGATGTGTTTATTTAAACTAGTTTGTTGTGGCTACGATACTCATTAAGAATAGTTTTTGAGGTAGCCAGCTCAACTATCTTTAGCACTGAAAGCCAATCTTGACTTGATGAAATGTTTAATGCATGAGAAGAAAAACTAAAATGACAGCTTTTTCCATATACATTTGAGCTGCTTATGGGGGGGTTGAGCTCTCACCTTTCATGGCTTCCTTCAGTTGCCTCTGTTGGAAAGCATTTAACTTTGATTCTTGCATCATAACTAAAGATCAAACAAAAAATAAAAACGGATCACCTTATTTATCGAGTACATGCACAGTGCATCATCGTGGAGGGCAGTTTTTGTTGTCTACTCAGTGACAAAGTACAGCAAGGCTTCCCTATTGGGCTGCCAACTACTTTCCACCATGTATTATACAATACAACCAATCGTGCCCAACATCTTACCTCTTCTGTCTGTGGAAAGCAACTGTAAGAATTTACAAACCTTGCAGATAGTTGAGTACAATTTTGCATTGGCTGTTTCGATTATGCCATTTACTCTGCCATCACAAATACAACTTGTGCAACAAAAATTAGATATGTGCTGGGGAAGTTCTCCAGGTTACATCTCATGAAAAAGTTGATATTCATGAGTATTTTGCCCATCCACGCCACAGAAAATCAGCAGCATGTACTCTTTCCATTGTTGTCAGCAGCATGACAGCTTGACCAATCCCAACGCGGCTAGTGGGTAAAGTATCCTCAATCCTCCTTTTTCTGTGCGCCTAAGGCTTTGAAACAAAATTTCCAAAAAACTACACTGCAGTTGAAATTCTTTAGAGGTAATTTTATTTTTACAACTAACAGTCTGTCTGTCATTGAAGCAATGCACACAAAAACGTTACTTCTTGTTGTGCCCAGGAGTAGACAGCTTTTATTGGGTTCGACCACATGTGTGTGTAAAAATCCCTGCCTATATCTATGCAGCTGGCACTCCTTGAAATCTACGGTGGCCAAGACGTACCACACAAGATATATTTTTTGGAAGGGCGATCCTGGTGTTTGGCATTGTAACAAAACATTTCCTTTAAATTTTATAGCAATTCAAACAACTTCAAACTTCAAGTCTTCCAGCAGTCTAGCAGTTCAATTGGAAAAATATGCTTAAATCATTTAGAGGAAAATTAACTTTAATAAAGAATGGTACATGTATTTTTACTTTTTATAACATGAGATTCCTCAGTCTGTCAATATTTAACATTCCTGCATTATAAATTACTAATCCTATTCCTAAGTTAGTCGTACTAGTACAATAGCCTTGGCTAAACCCCAGTCATTGCAGTGGTTACTTCGAGAACTCAAAGTCACTACTCCGTCATACTCTGTGTGACTTTGAGCCAACAGGGTATGCATGGTGTCGTAGATTTTTAAGTCTCGTAATCTGTCACTGCTACAGATCACAGCACATGTCGCCCGTCCTGCCCATGGGTGTTTCCAGATCACAGCGGCAGCCAAGACAGTCCAACGAAAACAACACAAGATGTCATCCCCGCCACTGAAAATGGTTGAAACAAGTTGCGGAGCAAGCACGGTCATACGTGGGCTCAATGCACGTGCAGTCTGATAAACTCGAACAGCATGAACAGAGCGACAGTCAATGGGTGGAAATGAGAAATTGGTGAGCAAAATCTAATTTTTTTCAAAACGAAGTGGCTATCGTTACTGCAGCTATAACGCATCTCCCATTTCCTATCGTTACGGCACTGAACTGCGCAAGTGCGATGACGTAGCTGATCATCACGATGCTTTATATATTTTAAAATTACCTTGAACACTGAACGCTTGTGGCCAAGTGGTCAAGGTGGAAGGTTTGAACCACTAGTGTGTGAGTTCGAATTCGCGCTTGGACCATTTTATTTTTTTTGGCCTAAATTTCATGTTTTATACCATAATTGTTTTTATATTGGTTTCTAATTGTATAGGCCTAAGCAGGAATCTTTTTTTCTTTTCTCATCGGAGGCTTTGGAGGATTTTTTTTTTGAAAGGGAAACAAAGTCTGAAATCTGCGCTTACATGTTAGTTGGCGTGCTTGCGCAGTTGCAGTGCCGTATCGATAGAAAATGAGAGATGCGTTACGGCTGCCGTAACAACAGTCAAGGCATTGTTATCCTGCTTTTTAAGGGGTATGGGGCAGCGCGGACATTTGGGAGTTTCACAAAAATACATAGCAACCACACTGCAAATGGGTGTGGGTGAAAACAACTGAACAACTGCAATGAGCGTGCGCGTACGTACAGATCAAAGAAAAGATTGTATAACCCGGTCCTCGGACTGGCTGGTGCGTGCGTACGTCGCCAGGGTCACTGTTTTCACCAGCGCAGTAGGCCCTACCTGTCATTTTGCGAGAATCCCGGATGTCTGCACTGCCCCATAGATTAATCAGGCTTGCTGACATGGCTGACAGGGGAAAATTTGATTTAATAGCTTTCTTACACCAGTGAATCATTTTACCACAAAAGCCTGATTCCAAAACCCATAGCGTTACGACACAATGCAAACCTTGTCGGCAACGGTCACACGGAGTATGACGGAGTACGAATCCCGAGTAGTGACTTTGAGTTCTACAAGTAGCCTAGGCATGCTTGGCAGTGGTTTGGCCTCCACTCCTTTCTCCATGGTTTGGCATAACAACGAAATTAACCTCTCGTTATCTTCACATTTATCCCACATTTCACCCTGTAAACATACAGTAACGTGGATGATAGTCTGCAGATACACACCTTTCAACAGTTGCTGAGTTTCATTGCTATACTGCGGTGTTTGAGTATTCCACATTCCGCCTTTGGCGACACCTCTCTGCTTCCCGGCCGACATCTTGAAACCATAGAAAACAACATTAGGCTCGTTCTGAAACTTTATTTTGGGAATTAGACTTAGCCTGATTTTCTTTTGCGCATCTGTTCAGCCAGAATTAATGATCAATTTATCTTGTTCAAATCAATCCCCAAGCTTTTAAGAACAACAGACATTCGTTCAAATCCTTCAGTTAATTAAAAAATCAGGTTGCCACCCCCCACCGGTTGCTTACATTCGTTGTACTGTGAAAGAGGGCGCTGTTTTAGTTTTACACAATTCCTGATCTCTGAAAACCATTTGGATTTAGCTGCGCATTATGGTTGAAACCACCATTATACAACCCGTGATACGATAGCCAGTTAACGTCGGATTTTCTTACCCGAAGAAGCTGCTGTAGACGGGTTTTTTTACCCATAAATTCTTCAACCTTGCGATTGCGCTTTGACCCAATCAAGCACGACGGGGTAGGCCGCTGAAGTAAAAAAATTCTTAAACGGGTTACACGTTCTCCGTGGAACAAAATGAAAATTATGTGTGTTTACACGTCATCCGTTGTGACTTGAATCCACAGTTGTTACAAATTAAAGGAAAGGGTTCACTAACCATTATTCAATCTCGTGTTTCTCAGGGAAAAAACACCCTTTTCTTTAATATTTTGGTAAGCTTTGAAAATAGTCTCGGCGCTCTTTCAAAAATATGTTTATCTTTACATGTATTTTAATAATTAGTCACATGACAAACAGAACAGAAATAATCCACTAGAATTGTGGATTTAAAATGAAAGTAACACTCGCCAAGGATATGTCCCAGTAAGAGCGCGCTGACACCAAATCTTAGAAACAGACACTGTATGTAAATTTCTGTATGTAAAAAAGAAAGAAAGACAGAACTAAAACATTTTCATTTCATTTTGTTCAGGCTCCAGATCCGGTGCTACCAAGTCACTTGCATTCTTTTCATGTAAGCCCAATTCGAAAAATGAAACTGGCCTGAAAAACGACATAATTTCAGTATGGTAGGGGCCCTCAGTATATGTTTTTTTTTTTATTGTTTTTTTTCAGAGCCAAGAGTTTTCACGGGGGATCACGATTTCTTAGAGGGTCTGTAAAATGAAAGGTATATTGAAGCTTTGAACAAGAGCTGGTACTTTGTATGTCAACGAAATTTGGTCGTATCTTCTACTACGGGGATGAAGCCGTCATTTTTACACCCGGAAAATGTGAAAAGTAAACACTGATCAGATCGTCTCCAGCTTTATCCACTGTAACTCAAAAGTGATGTATCCAACTCGTGCGTCCCAAAGGGGATGGGAAATTTTGTCTAAAAAGGAGTCTACCTTTTATTTGCAACATATTGCTCGTTCTCCCTCCTCCAATGGAAGATGGTAATACCATTCGTAAGACAATGATGCTTTCCAAGTTCAAAATAAATAAATTTTTAAAATGACCGTCGGCGACATTTCTTGGGAAACTTATTCCTCTGCCTTCGCTGACGAAAATCCATCAGTTGGAGAATCGACCAGGCTGAAATGCTTCCCTCTTGTTTTGATGGGGCGTTTATAGCTATTTCAGGCCTACAAAACTAATTTGGCGGAAGCATTTTCATGACCCTGTCTAGAAAGTTCTAGCCCAAACTTCAAAAGAATGGTGTGACATTATGGTCTGCAGGGTGTTACGCAAAAGCTTCATTCGTTTGTTTGCGTCCTCACATCTTAACTCAACTTCACCGAGGTAATCTTTTCATTCAGTACTACGTGGTGGTCGACGGTGGTCGCACAAAGCGCGAACTGCAATGAAGGCGGTTGTGCACGTGCCTACCTATCCCCACAAACAGGGCTGTAGTAGCTCTCTTTTACCATGGAGGTCTTCCTACCTCCGTGCTTTTACAATCTGTCTCTTATCTGTCGCCACCACATATAAGAGACAAGTTGTAAAAGAGAGCCAATACAGCCCTGTTTGCGGGGATAATGCCTACCCTGTTTTGAGTTAAAACTGGCGTTTGAGGCTTGTGGATGTGTGAATAGACGGAGACATAGTGTGGGTGAGACTTATGAAAATTAAAAGCAACAGCATATCATCTTTCGTGTTACAGCGAACATTGTGGTAACTCTGAGAATATGTTTCAGTTTTACAAACCCAATGTAAAGTCAGAAACTTGCTGTCATCATAATGACTAAAAAGAAGGATGTACCAACCCAAAGGGAAAAAAGCAGGACAACTGTTTGTTCTTACTTTGCAACAAAAGTATGTCTTCAACTTAAACACTCTCAATTCCGCTATTTGAAGGGGAAGTCAGTGTTTATAGAATTATAATGCTTTTATGCTCAATGTCAAGGAGTCCGTGAACATGTAATTCTCCGGTAATCAACGTTTTCGATCAACAGATAGATTGAATTAGAATTATTTATAATGTAGCCCAATTTTTTGATTTGCTTAAGCAAATTACATTTCCAATTACTGATATTCTGAAAACAATAAAATGTTCTAAAAAGTGGAATTTCACAGTCAAAATTTTGAGGCATTCACTTAGGCCTACTAAACAGAATTTTTCAAACCAGTCTTGTGGAGTTTATCAAGGGCATCAAGGGGCGTCCGTATAATTATTAGTCATGCAAAAGTGAGTAAAGCAAGTCTGCTCCGAGCCAATTGGCTCATCATGTCGATGTTTATCTCCTGCTCCTTCAGCAAGAAACACTGATAATATTTATATCTGGGATGCCAGTCCATCGCAGGTTGCTCCCCAACTAATGCCAGTACCCAGTTATGCACATGGGTCAAGGGGCGAAAGAGGTGGTTAATAGTTTTGCTAAAACTTATGGCCAGCAACTGTATTTAAACCCCCATACCCTGAGCAACAAACCTACCACATGGCCACCTGCACCCAAAAGAGACGAAGATCCAAAATTACCTGTTTCTTTTCTTATATGGATGTGGTTTCTTTCTTTCAGTTGAATATATTTTGGATTATTTCCCCTTGTAATGACAATAACAACTATTTTAATCTTTTATTTTCCAGGCAGCATCCAACTGCTAGGCTGATGACGTAGCTCTGTCTGGATGACAGTATGTCTGGATGTACCTGCGACTGCCTGGATGACTGGAGTGTCCAATGAGCAGGTTGAGTGTCTTTCTTTATATTTCTGGTAGCAGGGGTAGCTAACTCTTACTATCCTCAGGAGGTGATCAGCCCTGCCTTTGCATTCGAGATTTCGATTGTCCTGTTGCCCGCGTTTTGAGAGTCGTTCGCGTGTGTGTGCTTGTTTTTCTGTTTTTCTCGGGACTTTGTGTTTCGATCTGTGGTATTTCACTAACTCCTGTCCTTTGGTCTTTGTGTTTGAATGCAGATACTGAATGATATGCGACTGCCTGGCTGACTGGATTTACTACTGCCCAATGTGAAAGTTGGCTTTTTCTTTATATTTTGAGTAACAGGGGGTAGCTCTGGCTACCAAGGAGGTGATCGGCTAGTTGGCAGGACCAGAGTGGCGAGGGACACGGGGATGTCTCGCCCGGCAAACGGTTCGGACGTAGCGGTGACGGAAAGCTACGATGCTACAACTCACTCTTGTAGCACCCTGGACTAGTTAACACCATACTCGCATCGGTCCAAGCTAAACTAGCTGGGAATTTATAATAGTTCCTGCACTTCACAAGAAGGCGTTTTCGGAATTGCCGCCCAACTGTCGGAGAGGGTCCAAACGTCTTAGTACGTAAGGTTGACCTTTGTGCTGATCGATCATCATCGCGACCTTATCATGGTGAATACAGTTTTGTTGAATCGTTCTTTGAGTCTGTCGACTAAGAATACGATGCCGTAGTTCGTGATTTGCTTATTTCCAGCAGCCGATACATTTCCTGAAATCCCTGCGATTTGAAGTTGGTCCCTTGATCTGAAAGGACACCTTCCGGCGCTTCAAGCCGGCAAACAACTCGCTGACGAACTCAGCAGCTAGAGTCTCGGCTTTTGCATCTGGAAGACCATACGCCTCCATCCATCTTGTAGTATATTATCCAACCACCAAAATCTGCTGATTCCCATTTTTTGTCCTTGAAAGAGGACTGACCACTCTAGGACCACTCTGCATAGTGGGACCAGAACATAAGTCCAAATAGTTTCCCTGTGTGCGTTTTCTTGTCCAGTCTGTCCGTCCAATACACCGGTTTGTGTCAATCCACAAAGTCCCAAGTCGTCTCATCCCCTAAATAATAGTCCTTAACTGACAGGTTCGCCACTACTTTTAAAACCCCGGACATCTAGTCGTCGCCAAGTGCTGTGGCCTTCAACCGCAGGGACCGACTGTCATTGAGTAAGACCCACGACATGGGAGGTTTGACGACGGCCGTTACAATACTGTTGCAAGGGTGCAACTTCCGTTTCTTCGGAGTGGCTTAATCCTTGCATACTGATATAGTCATCGGCACCCATTCCTGACCAGAAATAACTTTGCCTCACACGGGCAAGGGTCTTCTTCAGGCCAAGATGGCCTCCAAACTTCCCACCATGCAATTCATTTATTAACTCGCGTACTAACATCTTCAACATCTCAGGAACCAGCCGCTAGCCTCCACCTGGCCATACAACCATCGTCGGACTGCCGTCGCTGGTGTAGCACACCATTTCGTACTGACGTCTGGTCCCAGTAAGACCATGGTCGAGGACACCTATAAGATCTCCCACTGTAGCCTTGCTCACACCTTCTCCATTAGACACTGGAACATAGCGGACGCATGTGCTAACCCGAACGGCACTTCCTTCCAACGATACCGCCTATTACGAACCTTAAAACTTCACTTCTGCATCACATCGTCATCCAGAGCTACCTGCGCAAAGCCTGAGGCAAGGTCGAGAATCAAGAACCACTGGGCGCCCTCTAACGCATCTAATATCTCACTAATTCTTGGCGCAGGATAAGTATCCTTTATTGTTACCACATTCAAGACCCGCATGGTCAATACACAACCGTTTGACACATTCTTAGCTGGCACAGCATAAGTCCCACTTCTTCAAGTCTTCCACTAGGCAACTGATCCCCTGATGGTTAACTACAGGATGCCTCCTAGGCTTCTGCTTCTTCTAGCGCCACAAGTGTCGATGTTGTGCTTTACCACATCAGCTCGGCCTATTTTCTCATCCCTTTATCCTGAAACTCTATCAGACACCTCTCAAATTTCCCAAAGTTTTGAGGAGACAGATTTCTTTAGCTCCTACCGTACAGCTCAGTCAAATGCTTGGGCAGCGCCCCTCGTGTCCTCGATTCTCATCTCTTGTGGACGAGCTTTAACTTATACCCATGTTGCCATCGAAGCTGGTACAGTTCCACCCCGAGGATCACGTTTCTCTTTTTGGGGTTTAGCACTCGAATTGGGCCCTACATCGGCTTGTATATCTTCCACAGACTTTAACAGCCATGACAAGACCCTTTTCCGCAATCTGACCTCCTGATTCGACTGGCTTCACGATTAAACTTCCTGCCAGTCCTTCACACTGACCAACACTGGAAAGGCTGTTCCATGTTCCATGACCTGCTGGTATCTCCATAACTCTTATTAGCTACTTACTGACAAATGGCTCACCAGCAGCACCAGTGCACTTAACTTAGGTACAGCTAGACAAAGATGTTTAGGCAAAGATAGAGTCTGTCAAACAGGCAGTGAAAGAGAGGGACGGGATTACAAAACATCTTGAGAAATTGATGGAAACATTATTCATTGTTGTTCCAGCCAGTGACACCTGCATCGCAGCAACGGGTGTCTGATAGTCCGCCTGCACTTAAGAGGCCGAAAACCGAATTGAGCTGTCATATTTGTGGTGTGAAGGGGCATTTTGTAGGAGAGTGTGCACAGCCAAATCGTAAGCGTTCCCGTAACTGCCAGGGAAGCGGGAATCAGCCGACCGTTTGGTCTGCGGGTCTGCGAAGCCTGAAGAGAAAGAGTTAGAACCAGAGAGGGGTCAGTGCGGTTGTGGCCCCGGTCATTGGGCCTGTCCATGGCTTGTTGCGAAAGGGTCCATTAAAACAACCGAATTTCAATTATTAATCGATTCTTGAGCAACCGCAGCCGACCCAATAATCAGTAAAATTACCACCAGTTATCAAAAGAACAACGGTCGACTTTGGAGGATTGTGAAACCATGGTGCGGCAAGTGGACGGTGGTCTGTTAATGGTACATGTATATCAATGGTGAACGAATCACAATCTTCTGCTGTGTCTCATTGTAAAATTAAGTTTGAAGTCTCATATGCTGCCTGCAATGCCTAATAAGACAAATACTTAATTGGACCTCATCTGGAACTTACCTCTCGAATGTACTGATCAGCCACAGCGTCCATGAAATGGTTTTCTCCAACCGTCACTTTCGCCTCTTTGGGAATCTCTAGTTGTACCCCTTAACTGTAATTGTACAGCCTGACACAACTCTTGCAAAGACTCCTTTGGCTTTTGCCGACAATGACGTAAATTAACTGGAAAATTTTTAGCCTGCTGGCCAAATCTTCCCAGCCAAAAACTTCACAAACTTCAACTTCCAGCCCGGAGGTACGTGCCCTCTCCAGGAATGCGACTTGCGTCTCCAAGGCTCGCGGCCAAATACTCGGCCGATTGCACATCGTCCGATTGGTTTACCAACCGACAACTCTTTACCACTTTGTCATTTTCAGCTTCTCATGTTGCCTTTCAGAAAAATTCTGGCTGGATCTAAACGTCAATCCTTAACTCTTTGACATTTCTACATTTTTAAAAGTTCGCATCACGCCGCGCCGGTCGCGCCTCCCCGCCCACCCTTAATCGTTGCAGGTAATGCCTAGTGGCGCTAGCCTGGCCTCGTCCCGTGTTGAAGAAAGAGCGCCCTCCATGGGCACATTGAAGTTATTAATGGGCTCCAGATGAGGAATAACGGTGCCCACTGAAATCTAAAAAGGTAAGGCACAGATTGTTAATTTTCGAGTAAGATTTACATGGGCATTGGACATGCATAAAGCCAAGAGACTGCTCTGGAAAGGCTTACATTAAATATGTCAAAAATGGCTTGGGTTTTAACATCCTCCTTGCGGCAAAGGGGCAACTCGGCATTCACTTTGTACTAGGGATTTGCATGCTTCCTCCTTTTTTGCTGCAAGTGCGACAAGATAAAAATAGCGCTGTTACGCCCCAACTATAGCATAAGTCCCAACTATAGTTGGGACAGTCCCAACTGTAGTGCTGCAGTTGCTTTGGCCAAACTATTGTTGACCAATGTCTGTGGGAAATATCTCAACATTATCCAAGTCAATGTGTCTCACACTTGACACAATTCATCAAAAATGTGGCACTTGGCCCTATGACCAATGACATGACATTTGTAAACAATATGACTTTGGCACATGCTGGGCACATCATGCACACAGGACCTCTATGCTGTAGTTGGGCCAGCCCAACTGTAGCACTCTAGTTGGGACAGGCCCAACTATAGTTGGGACTGGTGCTATAGTTGGGGCGTAAAAGCACTACAGACAATGACAGAACCTTTTCGATAAAGCGTGGGAGATATTCATAGCACATAAACAGTGAAATTTCAGGTATAATTGGTGTAAGACATGTAACTTAGTTTAGTCCAAATAGAACTCTCTTCTGAATGGGGATTACTGAAAAAAAAAGCCCAACCAAGTTCCAACTAACCATGTGTTCCTTCCTCCATGAACTAACTAGGCCTACCCTGTTATTATGTTGGCTGCTACAATGTGGTGGGGTTAGATGGACTGGGAATGTTTATTTAGGGCAATAGACTAGGGTGACATTTTGGCCTCATAGCCAGCTATGAGATGGATCATATGGGTGGCAGGATGTTCATTCTTTTGGTTTCAGTGTATCGATACAAGTGTTTAAATTCAATTCAGCCGAGATTTGAATTAAAGCATATTGAAAAGGTTCCATCAACATCAGTGAAAACAAGTGACTGTACTGTAATCTTTTGAAGTGCATGACCACCTTCCAAAATTGGCCAGGATAACTTTTAGCGGGCCCGAAAATAATTAAATTTTGCCAACTTCTGTTTGTATTTTATGGTTCAGTATCTTATTCTGAAGTGTATGCGTACATTGTTTCGGTTAATGAGAAGACATGTAATTTGAACTAAGCCTATAGATCAGGATATCCACAGCTCTGAAACTTATAAAAGTTTCTTTATTCAAAGTTACATGTACCTGTATGTCAACCAACACCATGGGATTAAATGTTTAGGGTCCAGAGATGCCTAGTGCCTAGCCCCTTCCATGTACATACCGTGCGGAACTTTCGAAGCATCAATTTTGACTCATTCCGTTTTTGACATTGCCAATGTTGACTTCGACTCTTTACCTGATGACGACGTTAACAAGCCAGCGGGACACCGCGCAGATGTGCTCCGCAGAACACTCGACCTGCATGCTCCAGCAAAAACTCGGTCTGTTAAAGTCTACCCAAATTTGTCATGGTATAATCCTCAAATCTATGAGGAGAAAAGGAAGCATAGGAGATTGGAACGTCAATGGAGACAGACTCACTTACATGTAGAAACTGACCGTCTGCGCTACACTCAACAGAAACAGAAGGTAAAGGCATTGATTCATAAAGCAAAATGCAGCTACTTCAGTAATCTGTTTGTTGAGCATGCGAAAGATCAAAAGTGAATCTTCCAAATAACAGATGATCTTCTTCACCGAAGTCAAGAGTCGCCACTTCTAGATGCTATGTCTGATGTGTTCCTTGCCAATCAGTTCTGTTGCTTTTTCACAAGCAAGATAGAGGCGATTTGCACTGGTTTCAACATTGTTGATAACTGGTCATATGAACATGATGAAGAACCGACAACAGCACTTCACCATTAATCATCATTTAATCCAGCAACATACATGTAGGAGGAGGTTCTCACTATTATACGCAATGCCAGCTGGATCCAGTCCCTACCACACTCCTCAAGAAATGCACAGTGTGATAGTACCTCTCATAACAAAGAATGCATTGACGAAATTGGAACGTGGATGAATAAACATTTCCTCACGTTGAACACTACAAAAACTGAATTCATGATTCTGGGATCTAATCAAGAAATCAGGAAAGTGTCTTTTCATCGTTGCAGAGTTGGCGATGTGCAAATTAGACCTTCTGCTAATGTTTGTAACTTGGGTGCGATGTTTGAGGCGGCAATGAAAATGGACGGTCAGGTGACGGAAACATATCTAAGGCTGCTTTCGTGTCATTTAGAAATATTGGAAGAATAGGGGATCATCTGACAAGCAGAACTGCCAAAAACATCGCTCATACTTTCATCACATCCATATTGGATTCATGCAACTCACTCCGCTTTGGAATCAACAATCAACTCGTCTCTCACCTTCAAAGAAAATATTGCAACACCAATGATCACACGCACTAGGTAAACAGACCACATCACACCTGTGTTAGCCGACCTGCGTTGGCTTCCCATCCAACAACGAGTCCAGTACAAACTGTGTCTCATCATCTTCAAGATCCTACAGGATGATGCTACAGCTTATTTAGGTGATCTTGTCCAGTTCTGTGCCCAAGGCTATCGGGGTTTGCAGTCATCCAAAACAATCTACTCAAGGAAACTACTGTATGGCTTATCATCGTTGGGGAGAGAAGCTTTCAGATTGCAGCTCCTAAACTTTGGAGCTCTTTACCAGAAACTGTGAGACTATTGAGATCACTTGAAACATTCAAGGACAGATTAAAATCCTGTTTGCATAGACGGGCATTTGGTTAATATTCCTCAACTTAACATTATTGGATGTCTTTACTTAAGAGTGCCATGAGCGCCATTTGCAGTGGATACCAGCACTCTATGCATGTAAATGTTCAGTACTATTGTACTAGCCGTAAAAGTAACGAGTCAGTATCCTTCAGTCCTTATAAGGTCAAAGATACACGTACAGCATACTGCAAGTAATGATGATAGTTGTAAAACTAAATCAACTAGAGATCCAGTTAACGGTACATGTATGTGAGTATACCGGGAGATCTTTTTTACCATTATCCCTGTGTTGGAAAGATTGATACATGTATAAAGATTTATTTGAAATCATGCAACCTTGTACATTTTCTGTAGGGATGAAAATGACCTTGGACCGAGTTGGCCTGGCATTGAGTTGACCTGGCACAGAGTTGACCTGTGACAATGGGCGTTAATCGGTAGGGGATGGGGGGGACATGTCCCTCCCCCCACTTGGAAAAAGGGAGATACTTTATCAATTTTCCCTCCCCTACTTTTTTCCAAAAACCTAAGGAGCTGCCATTCTGGAAGGATGAAGCAGCGCAGAGTAATGACCTGCATGAGACTCACAGGGGATCAGCGACATCGGCTTTGCCTGGTGGCTCTTCAACTAACTATCACACCAGACGCAACAGTTCAAATCTCATTCGTATTCCCTTGCAACCAATGAAAAATAATTGTTCGTCACTGGGCAATTTGCAGCTTGGAATGCTCGGTCAATTAAACTTAAAACTGCATCTGTATGTGACTTCATCATCTCCAGTAAACTGGACATCCTAGCCATTACAGAGTCATAGCTGACAGATGATGACCGATCTAACCGGGCACTTGCTGATTTTAAGAACACCCTTCCAGACTTTGAACTTCATCACATCCCAAGATCTACGGCTGGTGGAAGTGTTTGTGTGATCCTGCGTAAGGGTTTCATATTGACAGTTAATAAATGTGCTGTATACAAGGCATTTGAGCACAGGGACATCACTTTTCATGTTAAATCCACATCAGTAAGACTTTTTATTGTTTATCTTAAAGGAATAGGCTGACATCTCCAATGTTCTTTTCTGACTTTTCTAGTATGCTGGAATGTATAAACAATATTCCAGGATGAATTGTACTTGCTGGTGATTTTAATCTCCATATGGATGACCAAACAAATCTCGACTCCAACACCATGATCAACATACTGAACGTTGCTAACCTGAAGCAGCATGTCAGTGTGCCGACTCACAGGAGTGGTCATACACTTGACCTTTTGATTAGCAGGGATACTGACAACGTCATATCAGGTGTTAAAGTTCAGAGTGACCTGCCATCTGATCATGCAGCCACGTATGTTATGGCGCGGCCAGATCCCATGAAATACAAGACCACTTTTGCAAACTGCGGCAAATAGACATCAAACAGTTCAAGTGTGACATCATTGCTTCGCTCGCTATCAACCCATCTGCAGATTTGAGCACACGTGTCGAACAGTACAATCGTGTATTATCCGAGCTCCTCAATAAACACGCACTAGCCCTGAAGCGACCTCACACACTTAGACCCCATGCCCCCGGTACAATGACATGTTGCATCAGCAGAAGCGGGCAAAATGTCGCCTGGAGCAAAAGTGGACATCGTCTGGACTTGAGGTACACGAACAGCTGTACCACGAGGAGTGCCACAAGTACATGTACAATTCTTCACTTGAAAAATCAAAGACAGACTATTACCGAGCTCAAGTAAGTAACTGTGAGCAGGGGAAGCTGTTTGACTTCATTGATAAACTTTCTGTTGCCAAATCAGCCAAGATACTTCCACTATATGACTTAGCCAGTGATCTTGCACAGGAATTCTGCAAGTTCTACTGTGAGAAAACTAGGATGGTCAGGGATGAGCTGGACACCTTATCTGTCTACACCCCTGTGCTTGGCGAGCAAACCACGATCCCACGACTTTCTGAGTTTAGAGAAATGTCCCAGGCAGCAGTTCGTAAAGTCATCATAGACTCGAAATCTTTTCAAAACGGATTGACGCCCTTGCCTGTGACACACCTGACTCAGACCAAATTGAACTGAGTTGAAATGTGCCAAACAATTATCAGAGCATGTAACATTAACTGGTCAATTTGTGCACACTAGTTGCAATTTGTGAAGAGAAATATGACCGTAAATTGACAACCTTGCGCAAGTTTTTCTGGTGCAAAGTCATTGGTCCAACATCACAGCAGTGGTAAGAAACATGCCAAATATTATGGAAAAGACGTTTGCCAAGACTTTCATCTGGTACATGGAGGCAAATGGCACCATCGGCTTTGCCTTGAGTGCCATTTGCCCTCATGGGTGTAGAAAACACCATGGACCCCTACACCGCAGGCAACAATTGTTAAATGTAGTTTTACACCACGAGAAAGCAGTCAGTATTTGTTTTATATCAATTCTACCCACAGTTTCTGCTTGATTTCAGTGATAACGGATTAATTCAATCTAAATACGATACATATAGGTATAAAGGTTCAAGTGAATATGAATTTTGTTGAAAATTTACCAGCACATTTTCAAACTACAAATACATGTAGATGCACACTGTACCTTCAAGATATGCTTGAACCCAGCTCTGTGGTGCACACAAGGCATTTACCAGTATGCATTTGCACACATTGCCGATGCTCATGCGAATGATGTGTTTATTTTATTATATTTCCTTATCCTAAATTTTAAAATATTTACAGGAGTATAATACCACAGAAATGATGAGGATTCTAGATAAATCACGAGTGCTTGTACAAACTCTGGAACCTGTTACCAACAATGAAATAAAATAGGTTTTACATGCATATTACAATTTTTCAAGGAAATAATGTATTTAAGTTTAAACGGAAATCAGAGATGGAATATACTGGTATTATCCACGTTTACATCAATAATCATGTTTTTCTATTATGTGTACTCATGTAGTTCTTTTTGGCCATGAAAAGCAAGGTACATGTACATGTAATGGTACATTACTTGTAGATTTAAAATAGGAAATGCCATGTGACAAGCTCTCGGCCAATCAAAACACCTGATCTGTGGGTAAGGTGTTTTAACATTGAATATCCACCCGAAAGAAACCATACATTGTATAATTTGTTTTACCATGCGTTTACATGTACCTTATCAAGTCATAGTATACAGTAATATTCAGTTGACATTACAAATTTAAGCATCTTTTAAATTGCTCAGCAACAGATGTACATGTATGGTTAACTTTTGTGTAGCAAGATCGATGCTCATTCATGTGTTTTTCCCCCAGGTTACAATGCCAAAGTCATAAAGTACATGCACACACGTAGTAAACCGACCAAATAGACTACAGGTGGCATGTTAGTTGGATATCAACATGGAACCAAAGATTAACTTTGAGAAAAACTGGGCTGTGACCAACTGGGAAAATCCGTCCCTGTGGCTCATGACATGAGAAGCTTTGACCCTGCTGAATCTCCTTGTGTCGTGTGCCATAGAGCTGGGTTTTCCAACCAAGTGTTCACGATAAATCGTTTGCCCCCATGTAACTGAACTGCACTAGATGTAAACAATACCACCACGGGATGGACTGCCTCAGCCACGATGATTGCATATATTCCTACGGGCAGGTTCAACCACGTACAAGCGCCCCTGCGAACACTGCATGCTTGACTAGTTTATCTTGAATAAGTAGATTACCATGACAACACCATGCACCATTACCATCACAACACATAGCGTTCCAGCACAATTGTGACATCACAGGAAAAAGGTCTATACATGATGTACATGTGTACATGTATCTATCAACCACACTTTTAGATTTCATCATCTTTGCTAGACTTTTTGACTTGACAGAATAAAAGTCAGAGAATTAAGTCATGAAAATAATCATCAGAAAAATTGTTGATGTTTGGTCAGTTAGCCTCTAAGTTTAAATTAGCATTTTACAGTATGTCCAGTATGCATGTTGGGCATAATCAACCAATCTGCATGATTGCCCATCCCTCTGTGCAGTTGTACAACAATGAACATGTACTAGTACATGTCAATGTAGATCCTGTGTGAAATCTCCAACTTCACTTCCCTTTTTGGAAACAATCTTCCACAACTATAAATTGGAGAGGAAAAGTGATTGGCCGGTACATTGTATTAGAATTATTGACAGAATTATGCAATAAGTTTGACTGATCACTCAAAGATCGACCAGTCACACCCAATGTTCATGTATGCACACTTAAGCAGTTAATTTATCATTTCAGATGATGAAACTCTTCAGATATTTATTAGATACAACTAGTAAACAGTATCTCAGCAACAGGTGTTGTAGGGTATCGTTTATATTCTGAACATTTCTAATCTAAACTTATACTGACTTTGACGTCAGGACTTTCCAGTTTTCCTAAGAATTTTTTTCTCACTCATTATTTCAATAAAACAAGATTTTTCTTGGGGGGGGGTTTGAGGATTACATTTTCAGAAACACTTTTTGGGTAACTCTTTCACCCCCGTGCTAAAAATTGCAGTACCCAGATCTCTTTGGTGGTTTCCTTTATTTTCCACTCTCTGGCTGCTGCACCTGAGATACTGTCATTAGCAAATGGAACTACCATTAACTGCCCCAGCACAGAGTATCTCCAACGTGTTTGCCGACAAGTGCATGATTTTCATTTATCACAAGGCCAGATCCAGCTTAATCTGAGCTTACAAACAGGGAACATAACAAGCCTTATACATCTTGGACTTCTGCAGACAGGTTGGACTCTCAATTGATTTTTTTTTCCTTTCCCTTATTGGGATGAATTCTTTGATTACATTTCTCTTTAATTACATTCCTCAAATTCTGCAGAGAAATATCAATGTTTTTCTTGGGATGACCAGTCCTGTGCGTCAGTGGTATCATTCGGAGGGGGTTCATGTCACTGTTTTCTTGTGAATGGTTGCACGCAGGGAGCATCGCTGATTGCCAATATCCTCCGCTTTGTGCTTGTCAGTGACGATGTCAGGCCGTGACCAGACATGCTCATCAGCTTGCCGGTAAGTGCACCAGCAGAAATTTGTCGAATATTTACCAAGTTGAGCAGGCTTAGGGCAGAACAGTGACCTGCTATTGATTTGTCATGTGCCCATTCGCCTTTGGACCGCTATTCAGTGAAGCAGACTTTGGGATGCATCAAGCTGACTACATGTAGATGTAAGTTGCATTATTACAGAATTTTTTGGACTCCTTGTTTTAAACTGGGTTTTTTGATATTTTTTTTGTCAAAAGATTACCTGAGAAAATGAAGAAACTTGGATGAGTTTTGCCAATAATACAATGTTAATTGCTTATACAGAAAACCCAGAAGTGTTAGCCAGATGAAGAAAAAGATGCTTTTTCACATTTATGTCATGCGTATTTCTAGGGTATATTTTGTTTTCACTTATTCAATTGGATGCAGTGAAGGAATGAATTTCTGTTCTGAATCTAGCTTTCTTTGTTTCCGTTCTTAAGATCAACTCAGTACTTCCTCTGTTGTCATTAACTCTCTCTACGCTTTGGATCCTGCTGACATGTTATGGCAAAGCCAGGATTGTCACTCTGTTCCACAAATGCAAACATGATCAGGTCAGTCGGTTACACGGTGACCACAGTCATTCCTGTAGCATTAAGTGTTTGAAATTCAAATAGAATGTGCTAGAAATGGCTCTGAAACAATGAAGAACAGATATTTGAGGAATGATTATTTTTCTGGTGTTTGATAACTTATCAAAACTGTACAGAATACACGTGTACAAGACTTGTTAATCTTTGTGCGAGTGACATCACAGCTAGACAGGGAGGACTTTTTGTTGATAGGGCAGGGTGAATACTCTTTCAATTACTTAGAATTTGTATTCCCTTTGATCAGAAATATACTTAGTATAAATTACTATTTCGGGCTTCGCAAGCCACTGAGATTTTCATCAGCAGTACCTCATACATGTACATGCATTTGCAGTATTCAGACGCTATCCATTGCCTTTGCCATCGTTTCAGCATGGTGAATGGTGTGCTTTATTGTGAATATTTTTTTCCACTGCAGACTGAAGTGACAGAGTTCTTACTCATTATTTCAATAAAACAGGATTTTTTGGGGGGGGGATGGGATTACATTTTCAGATTTTTTTTGGGTGACTTTTTCACTCTCATGCTAAAAATTGCAGTACCCAGATCTCTGTAGTGATTTCCTTCATTTTCCACTTCCTGGCACCCGAGATACTGTCATTAGCAAAGGTTGGTCTCATAATGGATTTTTTTTCCTTTGCATGTTTCATAAGGTTGCTAATTTTAGGTACAACATGCGAGCTGAAGGTTTTTGAGATGAAGAGAGGCCATTAGGAGGAAGGTATTTTCTGTGCAGTCTCCATGGAGCCAAGGGTAAGTCTGAAAAATACATGAACATGTGCATGTACTTGTGTATGGGGTGCAAATGGGTGATGAAGGGGGAAGCTATAGATGCATGTTCATGTACATGTACATGTAGTGTGCTTAAGGGGCTTTTGTGAGTATCATGCAGACACAAGGGTTGTAAGGCACTTTTTGTCACTTTGATCAACTAGAACTCTTGGAACAATCGTGTTGCCTTTTGTATGATTTCCTACATTTGTTGCATTGTAGGGCATGCATATATCAACATGTACTCTTCAGATCATTTTATTTGCTCAGTTTGTACATGAACATATACTTTCCTTCCAGCGTTGATGTCAAAGAACCACCTCAGGGAACTGACTGTTACTAGTTGTGTTGAGCAGCTGATCCTCAACTAGGATGTATTCCTAGGTTACATGGGCTCTCATTTTGCACACCTGGTCATGCTGTGAATCTTTTGCAATTACTAGTACATGTACATGTTCTCCCCCGCCTCCTTGCAGATCAACCTGGTGGAGCCCGTGGGCCTGTGCACCAGTGTGGCCTTACAGCGACTCAGCAGCGCCATCGAGGATGAGCTCAAGTCCCACCAGGCCACCCTCTGCCGGGGCCGGACTCCACGGTGGCCCCCGAGCTGTGCCCTGTCAACCAACGGCGTCCTGCACTGGAGCAGCACCCTCCTGATGATCACGGCGGCCATCCTGACGATTATTGCTGCGGCGTTCTCCCAGGACAGGTCCTCGGTGCTGGAGTCTGCTGTCCTTGTGTTCCTGGTGGTGGTCAATGTGTGTGTAGTGAGGTGGGACAGTCACCTGAGGAAAATGGAGATAGTAAACCACACCAAAGATGTCCTGCACAAACTGAGAGGTACTAATTAGATTCTCATAGTGTGGCAGCTGTTTTTCCCTCCCACTTACATTTGATATGATTTCATTCTTTATTCAGTGTCCCGCAGTAAATTTTTTGATCTCTGTTTTAATATATTTTAGATAGTCTCACTTCTAATCAAATTAATTTAATTATTTTTCCTTTCATTTTGCATAATTTTTAAAGTGCAGTTTCATACAAGTTGTATGTTAACATGATTAAGATGGAATGTGTAACAACTGTTTCCACAACTGAATTGTCATCAAATTTTCTGGATTTGTTTAAAAAGTAAAATTTTGACAGTTGCAGCTTTGATCGCTTAGTAATTGAAAAGAGTCACTCCATGAGGTTGGGGCACAATTTGTGACGATGTCCTTGTTACATTCGCAACTTTTACCACCTGTCATAACCTTAGAGTAGGTTATTTACTCTGTAACAATAACACACACCTCTGTCTTCAGCCTTGCAAGATATATAACAATGTCAATTTGGAATCCACATGCAGTGTCAGAATTCCCCAGAACCACTCTGGCTATTAGATGTGCAAACGGTTGCAGTACTTCATACATATTCATAAATTAGTAATTTTTCTTTTCCAGTTCACTGCTTCCCAGGGCCATGGATTTCTTTGCCCACATTAAAATGACTTGCTATTTTGTTTGACAATACAGGCCAGGAAGCCACAGTATCCCTCCTCTATTGTGGAAATGCATACCTAGGTTTGTGTAGTAAGCTAGGGTGCCGATCTCAATGCACCCAACTTCTTTGTGTGAATTTTCACTGGGGTTTCATGAATGGTATTGAGTGTGATACAATGTCACTTATTTTGCTTGAGAATGAGATTTGTGCCTAGTATAAAAGCTAGTTTTGGGTGTGCCGGAGGAGAGCATTTTGATTATTGCAATAGCTATTCATTTTTACGGAATCCATGTAACAATTGACACTGTCACAAATTGTGCCCCAACCTCATGGAATGACCCAAAAGCGGTAATAAAAATCATGTCAAAATTAAAAGTATTCCCTTAAAGAATTACTCCAATTCTAACTGTTTTTTCTAGAGCTTATAGCAAGTGAAATCCACTGGCCGACAGAAGTCTACTCCTCATTGTTCCAACCTACCACCCAGTCCATCACTGAGCAGTGGACGTACCGTGATGGTCACCTAGTCAATCTGCCGACCCCGCTGCTAGTCAAGGATGACGTCATCCTGTTGAAGCCCGGTCAAGCTTCCCCAGCCACAGTCTGCAGTTTTGATGTAATTAGCGTCCTTACACATGCCATACACTCTTACTTCTTTCTCAGTTTCAGAGCTGCCTTACTCTACAGAGGTACTATGTGAATGGGGTATTTCAAGGATACGGCTTTGATCTTGCCATTGACAGACTACAGTCAAAAGCTGTAGGCATAGTCAGTTATGCGAATTCTGGACTGTCTTGACTTATGCTCAACCCCAACCTTCATAGATAAAGGATCTGTGCTTCCCAACTGAGTTTTAATGAATTTGTCATGGAGATTTTGATTCCTCTGAGGAGGACTCAAACTCATGACATCTTGCTTGTTGGTGCAAGCATCGCAACCATCACAACTGACCTCAAAATTCATCACGTTAGGGACTGCTGTACTCACTACTGCTGGACATTAAATTCAAACCTGCTAACTGACCTTGACAAGCTTGGTTGTCATTTGACTGAGACAACTGCACTAGTGAGCAGGAGGCTGTGCATTCGAGTCCCACACCCGAGTTAGCTTTTGAATTTTTTCCTTACAAATTCTTGGAATGCAATTAGCAGGCAGTACTTTGAGATAAAAGTGGCTCTGGGGAAGGGCTAACCAAGCATGCACCATTTACTGTGACAAGACCTCACAAGTACTGAGTGTGGAACAATGCCAACTGGTTCAAATATGAACTCGTTTTGGACTGTGATCAGAGGCTTAACATTCAAAACTCAAAAGAGCTACTTAGACTTTCCCAACAAAGTGATTTGGCCATCTTGGCTGTTATGAAGCTGCTGGTCGACTCAGGACTTGAACCAAGAATTTGCATTGTTGAAAACTGTGATTCAAGTAGCACAGACCCCTTTGTAGACCTGCACAGCAAAAACCGAACCGTGGTTGGAACTTGACATTTGTCAGTTTCTTTAGTTTGTCATTTCTGTTTGACAGGATCACAGTGTTGAGTTACAGAAAGGCCAAACATACCGGAAGACGGCCTTTGGAGCCTGCAATGGCCCTGTAGCCCGCCAGGCTCTGAAACCGGTCAAGTTCATCGTGCTCGAAACCTTATACATACCCCACCTGAGGTGAATGGTTCATTTTCCTATACTTTTTTTTCAGTTATTATCATCTATGTCCTTGGCATTGCCCTTGTGTAGGTTGTAGCCAATGTAATGGTGAACTCTAATTTTTCAGTGTAGTCGTTGCTTGGTTGTTGATCATGATTTATTCAGGCATTGTATGAAATGAATAATGTTTCACATTCACTGAAAGTTGAAATAGTCGATCATTCTATCACCTGAAGAAATTCTTACAGTTGCAATAATAAGCCTTCATTGTTTTGTATACCACTCAAGTTCATAGTGCTGGACATGTGTATATTGCACTGTTTTTGAAAGCATTTCCATCTCAGCCATATTTCTCAAGGTAGTGCTTGTAGTCATCATCTTGATTAAGAATATGGTCAAAGTGATAATCATCTTGTCATGCTTGAAGTTGTGGTTATTGTCATGATATTTCCGTGTGACTAATGTATCATTGTCCTTTCAGTGGCCTCAATTTGCGATAAACATCCCCCTGTTATGATTTGATTTATGATGAGCTGTTAGCTCTGAGAACTCATGTAATCATGTCTTTAAGAGAGTATTTGTTTAAAAAGTGGACCGGTAATCTCATGTCTTTGTCTAGGGCCTGTTTACAACGGGACAATGGCAGGCCGTCTCCGGTGCTGGAGGTGAAACGTACCGTGTGTGTCGGCATCGCCGAGAGATGGGTGCTACCCATTATGTTGGTAAGTCTAAGTATGAGGGTTTGCCCTACGTTGGTGCACAGTCATTCTGAGAGTGTTTCAGACAACTCCTCGATCAGATTAATCAGATTTAAGCCCATGACCCTGATTACTCCCTCAGTGATATTGACCATTAGACTAAAGAGCTTGGTATTGGTGCTTCCCCCAAATTTGAATTCAACAAAGCAGTAGGTTCCGAAATTCATAAAATATGATTGATCCTGGTTTGATGTTTGTCGTCTGGCATCAGCGGGATGCAAGTTTTAAGGCATTTTTTTTCTCTCCAGTTCTGTCGGATGCCCTTGTGTGCATGTTAACCTGTTGTTGGGATGAATTCTTTGATTACTTTGCTCTTTGATTACATTTCTCAAATTCTGCGGAGAAATATCAATGTTTTTCTTGTAATGGCCAGTCCTGTGCATCGGTGGTGTCATTGGGAGGGGTTCATGTCACTGTTTTCTTGTGAATGGTTGCACGCAGGGAGCATCGCTGATTGCCAATATCCTCCGCTTTGTGCTTGTCAGTGATGATGTCGGACCGTGGACAGACATGCTCATCAGCTTGCCGGTAAGTGCACCAGCAGAAATTTGTCAAATATTTGCCAAGTTGAGCAGGCTTAGGGCAGAACAGTGACCTGCTTTTGATTTGTCATGTGCCCATTTGCCTTTGGACTGCTATTCAGTGAAGCACACTTTGTGATGCATCAAGCTGATGACTAGATGTTAGAATTGTAAGTTGCATTTTTACAGAATTTTTTGGGATTGATTGTTCTGGACCAGGTTTTTCTGTATATTTTTGTGTTAAAAGATTACCTGAGAAAATGAAACAGTGATTAATTCCTTATCTTTGCATTGAGTGGCACTGCTACTTGCCCGGGTACGAAAAACTCGCCCTGACGTAAGGATGAGAAACAAAGGTCTGCTCCATGCAATAAAGCTACGCCCCAGACAGGGCTGCCCTCGTGCGATATATCAACACTTACAAACCAACAGCTTTAGACTCTGTTAACAAATCTTCCAAAGGATCCTCAACATACCCGTCCTTTACCGACTCCAATTACCGTCGACTGTGCCTTTTCAACAATCTGTCTGGCACTCCCACTTAGGCAGCAGTGGTTGCTCCCCTGGATTAGATAGAGACTATGCAACAAACATGGCTAAAGCCTCAAGGATTACTTCCCTTACACTTGAATACGAGAGGGGCTGATTGACGCTCCTCAATTTGTACCTGCCTTCAACTTTTGACTGAGCACGAAATATGAAGGCGTCTGATTCAGAAACTTCAGCTGCGGATGAATATTTTTGTAACAATTATTTTACAGTACCTAGAATCTGTCTTGCTTATGACTACTTGTCTACCCCTCTGATACTGGTCAGTTTTGTTTGATGGAATGAACAGAGTAAAACCCTCAGAAATGAGAGAAACGTGAGACAGCCTGATATGAGCAGGTCTCTAAACTGTAAAAATCTGTGTATGCCAAAAGACACATTGTAACCGATTTTAAGGTCGTTAGGTCTGCCTCTTTGTTTGCATTATATAAGAAAGAATCTATCATTTCCTTTAGAACTGATACAGGTACTCGCTTCTTCTTTTCTATTGGTTTAGAGAGTCATCGTTTAAGGCCTTCTAGAGTAAACTTTATCAGTGAAAAGACTGTGGGATCATTAATTCCAGCCATTTTGTGTACCCAAAATATGGATGCTAACGCCTTAATAAGTGGTGCATGGGAATTACAATTTGGACTTAAATTAGTTTAATGTAGACATACATGTATATCAAAGGGGTCTGTGTTAATGCTTTTTTCCAAGACCCCTAGCCCAATTTGACCACCGTAAGAAAGCTCCTGAGTACAGCTTTAAGGTTAATGCCACCCATGAGTCCACCATCACACTCAGAAGCTGAGCTGCTAACTGCCTCAATTCTGGTGATTTCTCTTCCACTCTGGAAGCCCAAATACCATTGCTAAATATGAATTTACTGGCTTGAGCTTGCACATCCACTCGGTCTTTGAGCTTGGGGCAGGTGGCCTTCCAGTGAATCTTGTTGTGGTAATCTTGTTGTCATCATCCTGGTCTGCAGCCAGCTCATGTTCCTCATACTCCGTAACCGTGGCCCAATCATACGTGCTGAAATCAGCCAAGTGAATCAACTTCTGTCGCTTGTTGATGATGCTGGTGTCATTGGACAACGTTGCTTTCATGACCAACAAGGAAGGGTTGTTTAGCACCCAACTGGTCTGCGGCAGTTTGAATCAGTCTTTGCCTTGCATATAAAACAACAAATAATTGTTAGTATATTCTTGAAGAAAATTTGGCTGAAACAGATGACAACGGAAGTTTAAGGATTCCAATCTTTGTAGAAATAAAAGCGTGTCTAGCCTGCACCAGACCAACGTGAAGTGAATCTCCTATACCGTGCACGCCCCCACGATGGTATTCTACATGCACCACTGCACGTTCCACCACACATTTCTCTGCCCCTTCCACAGCTGTACATTCCACCCAAAATTCTCAAAGAAAACATATGTGTTCTAATTTGTACCTTGTCACTCAACCGAACATATTTACTTTTCCTTGAACAGAAAACCCAGTGAAGGGAAAAGATATATTTTTCACATTTTTGTCATATTTCTAAGGTATTTTTTGTTTTTACTCATCTAATTGGATACAATGGAGGACTGAAATTCAGTTCTGAATCTAGCTTTCTTTGTTTCCCTTCTTCAGATCAACACAATACTCCCTCTGTTGTCGTTAACCCTCCCTATGTTCTGGATCCTGATGACGAGTTACGGCAATGCCAGGATTGTCACTCTGTTCCACAAATGCAAACATGATCAGGTCAGTCGGTTACACATTGACCACAGTCATTCCTATAGCATTAAGTGTTTGAAATTCAAATAGAATGTGCTAGAAATGGCTCTGAAACAATGAAGAGCAGATATAGGGAATGAGTATTTTGAAGTATTCTGGTGTTTGATAACTTATCGAAACTGTACAGAAAGCATGTGTACAAGACTTGTTAATCTTTGTGCCAGTGACATCACAGCTAGACAGGGAGGACTTTTTGTTGATAGGGCAGGGCGAATCTCTTTCAATTACTTAGAATATGTATTCTCTTTGATCAGAACTATTCTTAGTATAAATTACTATTTCGAGCTTCGCAAGCCACTGAGATTTTCATCAGCAGTACCTCATACATGTGTTTGCAGTGTTCAGACGCAATCCAGTGCCTTTGCCGTCATTTCAGCATGGTGAATGGTGTGCTTTATTGTGAACATTTTTTTCCTACTGCAGACTGAAGTGACAGAGTTCCCCGATGACAAGATTGGCGAAAGCGCTAAAGTCAAGGTAGAAAGATCTGTATGTGAATCTAAAAATTGCAGAAGAAGCCGTCCATTTGTCATGAACTATCATATAAGAAGCCCGTTGCAGCATGGAGTTACCTGTACTTTCAAACTGACATGGGCCTCAGTTCCTCGATAATGTATGGTATTAATCATTTGTCACAGGTGTGTTGTGGTGTGCACAAAATCCACGTACCAAGGTGACAGAAATAACGTTGTTCCTCACTTTTCTTTGACATCCGTAGGACAAGAAACTTTCCTTGCGAGAACTTTTTGAGCATTTTGTCTCAGCGTTTTTTGGTCCGTCCAGCCACTTACCTCGGTCAGCTAGTCTGCTGTACGGCCTGGGCACTATGACGGTGAGTTTACTTTCAGGAAAAAAAAAAAGAACACTTAATGGTTTTCCATTATGTAACACAATGTCCTTCGTTTTATTGGAACATCAATTTGAAATTGTAGTGCTTGTTTCTACTCATACACTGTATTTTCATATTTTATGTTTACATAAAATTCTCGTTTTTTCAAATTTGCCGTAATTGGACTTTGTAATAGCACTAGTTATTTAACTCATCATTCTATTTCCATTGGTGCTACTGCTGTAGTCAAGTCTATCATCAAAAAGACCTGACACAAGACCAGTCACAAGTAGCAGGGTGAACAGTGTCTCTTGGAGTTGCCTGAACAGCTTGTAGCTGAATTCAGACTGGAAGCCTTGTGTTGGTCTTATGCTGGGCTTGTGGGATCTTGTGATAGTTTTGTTAGGAGTTTGGGTTACAACATGGTTATCCACAGCTTTTCAGTCGTCCGTCAATCATTATCCATTATAACTGTTTAATTTCCTGCCTGTGCTGAGTGAATTGCCTGAATGCATATGATGTCTTTTCCTGTTGGTCCCAGTCCCTGTGCTGTGTGGACAAGCGAGGCATCCTGTCCTACCCGGACCCCACTATCGAGAAGGTTTTCTTCATGAGCAGCCTGAGAGATGACAGGGAGGCGTCTGATTCCGACAGTGATTCAGACGTCTTCACCAACTCCCAGGAGCAGATTCTCGGCAGCAACGGGCACGGAGGGAAGAAGGGTGTGACTATAGCATCCCAGGAGAAGAATCTGGACAACGAAGGTAGAGTGTTATCACCTGTGTTCCGTGTTTTTTTCTGTTGAAAAGGTTACCCTTAACACCTGGAATCCAACATGGAGTTGTTGAGCAGAAATGCTGCTCAGCATAATCTGCAAATATTCAGGCAGAGCAAGAAGGCATGGGGAACCAGTCATAGGTTATGTATCCAGCTCAACATTTTGGGTGGTAACTTGTTTTCACTAATTTATGAGCAAATATTTTCTCTGTTCAGCAAATTTATGTGCTTATCAGCTCCTTGAAATGGATGCCTCTGTTTGCAGTACTTGGATAGATGTTGTTAAGGTAGTAAATATGCTTGGCTGATCTTAAATGTTCAGTTAAGAAAGGATAGGGAGAATGGATGCTGATAATGCCTGAACCAATAGCACACGCCTTTTATTAAAGGCACTAATTACAGTCAAAATGAGTTCAAAAATCATAAATTTTTGTGCCATGCTATGGTATGCACCTCTAGCAAGTAGTCAAACAAATTTCCTTATATGGAGATTGGCAAATTCCTTATGTGCACCACATGAGGCAGCTCACACCCAGTTGGTGCTTTTGAGACTGGCCATGTGATGGGCTCTTGACCAATAGAAATTGCTGAACTGAGGTATTTATGAATGTCATTTTAGTTCGTGGTACCCCACATTCATCAAAAATACGTTCCAAGGTTATTCAAAATTCCGACAGATACAGAACTGTACTATTGTTATCTTCTAGACTACTTTCCTGAGTATCACACTGAAGTTTTGACGCTATCTTTGGACTCCACAGTAAGTAGGCACCTTCAGTCTTGGTTTTCACTTTTTAATTCATGTTGTCAAACACAGATTTCTGTTCAGTCCAGCATGTATAGTAGCACTCTCACAAGCCTAAACTGTTGTATTTTATGACTAAGAGAAACTAATTTCCAGCTGAAATTAATTTTCAGTGAAGAAGAATTATTCACAAGGTGGTTATAAACTGGGCAGTCTTCCTAAACAATTGTTTAGCAGTGTTTCAGAAATTTTACTTCAAGAGGTATATTATAATCCTGTGGTTGTTTTCGCTAGCAAAATCCAACAAGCCTGCAGTTTGATGAAACCAACTGGGAGAGGCACATCACCTCACTGAAGCCCATGGTAAGCTCAATGATGGTTATCTGGACCTGGCTTAGTTTGAACTTTGACTTTTCATAGTGAAGGTAGCAAGTTATAGAAAAGATTTGCGGTAGCACCATGCAACGTAATCTCCGTTGTGAGTATGTGTGGTTTCTCCGGTTCTTATCAGAACCATACTCACAACAGAGATATCCTTGTATGTTGCTACTACAAACCTTTTACTTAATGTGGTTAGTTTAGTATTGACAGAAACAATATCTCACAGCCAAAAAAGTGAAATTTTAAACCAGGGCCACTCTTGAATATTCTTGTTTTCCTGTTTTGGTCAGAGAATGACAAAGAATGATGGCAATATCACTTTTGAAACATTCATCGGTTTATTGAGCCAGTTTGATATTTCCACAGGGGATTGTCATTCCGAAACAAAATGCGTGTGAGACAGCATACATGTATGTCCACATTGATAGGGCAGGCCTTGCGTGCGTGTATCTGCCTTGAGCAGAAGCATCCCCTCATGGGTTGAAAAGAGCCTTGTCAGTCAGGAGTGTTCATTTTGTTGGTAGCGATGTGACTGCAGCGCATTCATTTCTCAGTTGTTAGTGAACCAGCAAAGTGCATTTCCTACCAAAGGAGCCTCCATTACTAATAACATTGCACCCTCTCTTGGTCCAGCTCGGGACTTATTATTGTTCTTGAATGATCCCAGATACACTCTGTTGTAGACACTCTTTTACTCGTTTTTCATGCCCTTTATGGTTCTGCTCCAACATACAACATTGATTTACTGGCTCATTACCGACCTCTAGGCAATTGAGATAATCTAATGCTTCCCTGCTTGCTGCCCCTATACACATTAATCTCGGGGGGACAGATCCTTCTCCTGTGCCGGCCCACATCTGTGGAACAAACTCCCTTCAGATATTCACACTATTTCCTCTGTCACTGACTTCAAGGTTTCTCTTAAAACCCACTTGTTCAACAATTGTTAACTCATTTCTTGTTAATTTTACTTGATTGATGTTTGTATTGCGCCATGAGCCTCATTTTTAGCAGATACTGGCTTGTTATAAATCTTCTGTATATTTGTGGTGGGTTTGTCCATCGGAAGATAGAGGCACAAATTGTAAAAGGACAATCACACTGATTTACATACTTGAACTGGTTTATTCCGGACAGGTCGATTGCCAACAACTAGCAACCAACAACACTGACCTACTAACTTCACTCAAATCCAAAACAAACTGACTATCTGTAATCCAGAGTGACTATTTACACCTGTTTGGTTGTTTTTAACTAAGAACAAAGAACAAAATATTTGACCGTAACATTTAAAGGGAAAAACATAAGAAAGAACAAATACAGCATGTAGCATGGCAAAAACAACTTTATGTGGTCCACCACAAGAGGGCGCTAGCGCGACCAAGGATGTGCATGCTATTTACGTGAGATTCTGGCTGGCATGCACGTGGCAGTGATGTATGTTGCACTGTTGGTGCAGGTCTTGGTGGTGTATTAGCGTGAACGCACTGCCCATAGCAGCGTGCGCTATCAGGTTACTAGTAGAGACAACCAGTGATCATTAATAGTCAATATCCAATACATGCCATGTGATTTCACAACACTACAGTATTGTTATATATTATTACTGATAGGCTCTTGACATATCTGGCACGTGGACTACATTTACAATTCTTGTTTGGCACAGTTTAAATATCTGATGATACTTTAGGTTAATGGAAAAGGCACAGTTCTAATCCCTGTGGGAGAAAAATCAATCTTACCCTGTGAGTGAATTATACCACAGGGTTTGAATATTCTCCTGAACACCTGTAATCCAGACACAGTGGAGAGGTATAGCCACCTGTTCAATCACGTGCACAGCATTGCCAATTCGGAGGACACCACCCAACCAGCATGGGTAGCACACAGGAGGTAAGTCCTTTTGGGGGGGAATTACATGGAGAAACAAAACCAGTGCTTTTTACGAGTGCTTGTAAGTAGTGCAAGTTGTTGACTTGTGTACAAGCTTGAAACATTAATGGCCAGTGCTGTGGAAGAAAATCATTTTTTATGTAGACAGTGAGACAATTTATGAAACACATGAACAGAAGGCAAAACTGAATGATTCCTGAAGTTTATATTATAAATTTGCTGTGTTTGTGATGTTGAAGTTGTTACCATATCCAACTTTTTCCACAGTTGCAGTGTCCTAATCATCTCCGTTCTCATTAAAATAAGTGTTTTTAATGTGTAAATTGCAAATGCTAAATTGTAAATCGAATTCAAAGGAACTGACTACCCACTTTTGTCCATGTAGATGTATGTGTCAGCTGGCTTACCTCATAGGATTCACTGATCAAGCCACACAGATGTATGAGATGGAGCAGCAGCTGGCATTATATCAACCTGTGGTAAGTTTTCCAGGCCATAGAAGCAGAATGTCAATGTACAACTGGCCAATTATGTGGAAACTTTGCAGTTAGGTGGTGATATATTAGCACTCACATGGGAGCTGTAGTGTGTCTAACAATGGTTAGTGTGGGAAGTACACATGAGCTATTTTTCTGAATGTGTACAAACCTTTAACATCTTTGCATTGTCATTGGTCAGTTTTGAGGACTTCATGCAGGAATATTAGACAGTGCTGTGTTACTGCTTTAATGAGACTTTCAGTGCATCCAGCACTGGTTGAGAGGCACATGGTGTGAAGTACACACAAGTAATTTTCATTTTAATGTGCACAAACCCATAGCCCTCTTACGAGAACAGTAGACAGTACTCATGAGACCTTCATTGCATCTAACACTAGTTGAGAGACACATGGTGTCGTATACAAGAATTACTTTTCATCTTGATGTCCTCAAACCTAAGCATGTTCATATGATCATCAGGCATACTGTTGCAGTAGTATTCAAGTGTTCGATATAACTCTCTGTTTGGCTCCATAGTTGACATACTAGTGCTGGGAGCCCTCGTAGCTTGTGACTGGGTCACTGTTGATTTTCAGTTATATCATGAGCAGTATCGGCAGCTTCATCATATTGGTCCAGTGTAAGAATTGTTTTCATTGTGTCTTTGCTCTAGCATATCGATTCTGAAGAGAGCCATGGTCGCCACGCACACAAGACCCGGTCGTTTATTAAGAAGCGCACCCCGATTCCGCACATTATGTCTGTCCTCACGAATGATTCAAGAGGGGGTAAGAAGCTTCGAATGTCTTAACTTACACGGTGAAATTAAGCTTTTATTTCAACTAAGTTTAGAGCTACCCATATTGAAATTGAATCCTTTTTTTAATCTTCGATATATGCAGAAATGTACTTTACTGTGGTGTTGCCATAGTCCTTTCAACATTTGCTTCACCTGTCCTAATCATTCTTGTGTCTAGGAAACAGTCAGTTGTTGACAGAGGGTACTGCAGAACTGGTACTCAGCCTGTGCACAGACTTCTGGGATGGCTCTGACCTTTGCCCCCTAGACGACAATGACAGGTCAGGGGTCATTTCTCTTCTGCCATTCTACATTCCATTAAAGATATTTACAATACCTCAATTTATTTTCCTGTTCTCTCGGTTTTCCTCAAAGCTAATAGCATGATGATAGTTGTGAGAGAAATGATTTCAGTAGGCAAAACGTTTTTGTTGAGCTATGAAGTCACCTCTTTGTTTTATATTGAAAAAGGCAATTAAATATGAGTGAGAATAATTGGATTCTCAGTGCCTACCCCCTGCTATGTATCTTTAATTTGAACTTTGATTGTAACAGGATTATGGAGACTTGAGTTCTCTGAGATTATAATTAAAATTGCTGTGGTGTTGCCTTCTGCATAAGCCCAATTTAACAATGTGAACCATTTTGAAAGTTGCAATATCTTACAGAGCACTGTAAACCTATTCATCCACACAATGTCATTATGTTAAGGCCCATTTATACATGCATGTACTAATGGAATTCCACACTTTCAAAAATATTAAACACTTGGCTTTCTAGATTGTTCACACAGAGCGGACAAACTGCGAAGTCCCTCGATAAACTACTGGGTTTAGAAACCAGAGCGATTTTCCAAAGACAACGACCTGAGACTGCTCGTTCTGGCCATTTAACGCTCTCTTTGGGTGTTGGTCTCTTTTGGCTGTGTGAACGTGGAATACTGTACTTTTTGTTGTGGGAAACTAGGAAAATGACTGCTCCAGTCAACAAATGCCTGGCTGCTCTGGGGTTTGCATGTAGCATGTGCATGTTTATACTCGGCAGATCGGATTGCGGTGTCGGCGTTCTCTGTTATGCAGGGGTCAGCGTGTTTCGTGTTAGCGGGTAACTCCTTTCGTGTCTGTTTAACTCGATACACGCTGACATCCTAAGCGTGTTTGCGTGTCGGCTAAAATTCTGACCTGTACTGTATCTTACTGCATTGCCACTTTGTGTTACCACTTTCTGTTACCAAGTGCTTGTGTGAATGAGCCTGAAATAAGCCAAACTATGTGGCACATCAAAATGAAGACCTCAATATATTTCTTCTTCATGTGAGAAACGATCAAACCTAAAAAAAGAGCAAAGTTGTGTCTTTCAGATCTCCTTTGTGAATGTGATGATGATTTTGTGTCAAAGACAGAAAATTTACCACCTTTTTGCTGCACAGAAATGGATGCAGTGAGATTCAGAAGGTAGTTAGCAAAAGTTCCTTAGGTGTTATGGTTAAAGATTCATGGCGTCTGAGTGATGGCTTTAATATTCCATGGGTATATGCAGGAAGAAGATACTGGATTTCTACCAGCGTGCCACCCTGTCTTCCTACTGCTGTGCCTTTGCCTATCAGCCCATGGTGGACTCCATGCCTAAGTACTTTGATGACCTTTACATCGAGCTGCCTGCAGCAGGCAAGATGGGCAAGCTGATCCCCGACTTTGAAAATCTGGGCATCGCCAGGTGAGTGGAGATGAGAAGAACGTGGAAACGGTCTTTGTCTTGGGTTGCAGTGCACCAGTTGAGGAGTTCATTAAAGCTAGGTCATTTGAAAAGAAAGCACCAAACGTCACGCCAGCTACAGCATCTTCTGCGCCTGTGAGTCAGCACAAGGCTCTGCTATTAGGGCCAACCTCAAATGAATATCTGCTCCAAGTGGATACAAGCGAGGGTGTGGCTGTACATAGCAACCATTGTGCTTTTAGTGGGAACTGATGATGTGCGATGTTGGTGACGAACTTCTCTTAGCATGCACAGTCCGCACAAGTGCACCGGGCAATCGCACGAGCCCAGTTGAAATCTCTCTCACCAGCCTATCTCTTGTGTGCCAGTGAGGATGCACTTTAAGTCGAGACAGATTGATGTGACCATTCTGTGCAGGTGCTGTTGGAATACCAAACCGGCTCATCAGAACTTCAGCGAGTTTTGGTTCAAGCTGGGTTTTCCTGTTTGGTGTTACAGGGTCAAGAGAGTCATATTCTCGCTGCGGAGGCTATATTTATTGTACAAGTTGTGATGGAGGCTGGCGAATCAGTTGCAGTGTCTGGTGACCGTTCTCATTTCAGAACCTTTCTTGCTGGAAAAATGTGGACTTTAAGAGTCTTTCATGAATGTCTGTTTGTCGCAGATCCTCATGGGATGTTGACATGACAGCAGCCCACCAGCACGGTAACAAAGGGCAGGAGACAGAAACAAGGGGGCGGAAGTATCACAGCCTGGACTCAGCCATGGATAAGATTGGAGACATCAGGGACACTGACGACTGCTTCCGGTAAAAGTCCTTTATTGGTGTGGTGTTGTTTCATGGAGACATTGTCTCAGACAGATGGAACACGAAAGTCATTGTATATTCCCTCTGTGAGGTGAAGTCTGTAATTTTCTCTCTTTTACAGTTTGTTGACCAGTGGTCCAAGTGCAATTTAAGCAGTACAAGAATATTTCACTGCTTTACCACTGACGCTTCCATGGATAGACTATGTATTGTTGGAGAGTGTATTACAAAGATAATATTTCAATTCCCTAAGCAGGCTATTCAGTAAGGTGTTCATATCACATTTCATTGGATTCAGCTGGTGAGTGCAGTGTTTTTGTTTTGACCACTGAACCAGTACTTGCCTTTCCCTGTTCCTGGTTCTCCACAGAGCCCAGTGTGGTCAGATCTTTATTGGCATGGTGGCCATGAACTACCAGGCTAAGTCAGACATTGTCGCACTGATCGAGAACCTGGACCATGCCTGCATCCGCTTCGTGCACTTCTCCAGAGACCAAGAGCTACGGAGTAGAGTAAGTGAGCTGATTCATCAGTTGAATCGTGCAGATTGAAATACTGTGGGAACCCTCACTCATCAGTAAAATTTCCTTTTGTAAGGAATCCGGTGGCACATTCTATGTACTTGGCCCGAGGTGTGGGCTGCTTGTTCTAAGAAATGCATGTTGTTCTGATTGAAATGGCTGTGATGGCAAATATTGAGAGAATATTTTGTTACTCCCAGGTTTTCTCTGAAAAGATGGGCCTGGAGGCGGGCTGGAATTGCCACATCTCCCTACAGAGCGAGCACAGCAGCACTGCGTCAAACAATGGCATCTCCCGCCAGCACTCGGACCAGTCCTCCTCCTTGAAGAGCAACCCCTCCAGGAGGAGCGTGGATGCAGCCACCGCCCTCACAACGGACCACTCAAAAGAGATCCAGGCCGATGTCGCAAATCTGAGAGTCTTTTGGCACGGACAGGATGGGGAAGTGAAAAGGAGTGGGAGCAATGCCTCCGCCGACAGGAAAATTCGAGAGGACTGCAGAGACAAAGTGGGGCTGGGAGGGAAAGAGGTGGGAAGCAAAGCTGGGGGAGGAGAAAACGCCGCTCTCAAGTCGGTGAAGATCCTTGCGGAAGCAAGTGATGATGATGAGCATGTCACTGAGACATCTCGGTTGCTCCCATCGCCCCCACCTTCATCTCTGCATCCTCCTGCTGTCTCCCCATCCTTGGTACAGATAAATGTGCAGTCTCCAAACTCTGAGCAGAATGACAACGAATCTTCCGAAGATGTCACAGCAGGAGATGCAAAGAGAGAGAGCAAGGAAGATGAAGAAGATGATCATAAGGAAATGTCAACTCCTCATCCAGCTGCTGTTTCGAAGTCTGCAGACAACCTGCTACAGAAGTCAAGTGCTCCCCATCCTCATTTTTCGGACTCCTTGCCAGATGTCCAGGTCTCTGGAGGAGAGAGTAGTGACACCTTGTCGGCCGGCCACCATGCCCAACACAAATCCAACCTGGAGGTTCTGACTGAAGAGATGTCGGTCTCTTGGCGAGCGAGAAACATCTCAGAGACTCGAACCATGAGTGATGACACAGAGACCTTGAGTCATGTGACGGAAAGTGAGACAGCCGTGGGTTTTGACATCTCCAACAGGGTGAGCCACACACTGCACTTCCACTGTTTTTATTTCAAAGTTGAGACTACACAGAAAGCTGACTTTATATTCCCTTATAATTATCTGAATTGAAGTACTTTGAAAATTTCACTTATCAGTTCAGTGCCAGAACATGTCTTGCACAATGTCCCATTGTTGTGTGATAACTGATAATGAATCGAGTCATTGTTCTGTGATTAACTTACTAGTATTGGGCTTAAAGTTTTTAAATGAGCTGAAAATGTTACCAGGGAGTATACAAGTGGTAAGCCAATGCACAATCCTTATTAGTTTGGATCAACCATTCTTCCGCCTTTCCGGATTGTGGCTCAAATGTTGAGTGTAAATTGTTCTTTCCAGGCCAAACTCCCTCGTGGCATTGAGAAGATCAGACCTCACCTTGAGACAGTTGATAATGTGCCACTGTTGGTGCCCCTCTTCACGGATGTCACTCCGGAAAGTAAGATCTGGTGTTTTGTAAACCATGTTAAAGATGAAATTATTGATTTGAAGAGTAGAAGCTGAAAGAAATGTCAAAAGCATTGATAAGAACATTACAAGAACTGCCGTACCCACTGATTTCTAAAGTAAGTTGCTTTGATGTACTATGATGCTATGTTATTATGTTAAGCTTTTCTCCATTTAGTAGGCACAAGGCTTTGGGTTTCAGACCCTTCAAAGCAAGCGTAAGTATTTTTCTGTCGTAAAATTTGAAACAACACGTAGTACACAATAATTATATAATTTCATTTTTTAATTGTATAACTACATATGAAACATTATCTAGCGATGCTTTCCTAGTTCAACCCTAACCCTCAGGATATGTGAAAAGTTATGTTGAAATCTGAGGAGCTATACTATAGTACACAGATACATCAAGTGTCATTTGACTGATTTTGATCAATTGGACAGCTTTGTGTACAGCATGCTTGCATATGAATGTTAAGGTTAATAGACTGAAGGAAACGTGCATTATAATAGAACTTGACAGGCTAGACTGACCCATCATAGACCAGCAGCTGATTTCACGAAACTTTACGCAACAGCATAACTCCACTTCCGCCACATTTTATTGCGTAAGTTGCACTACAAGTTCAGACCAATTTCAAGAAACTTACGCACTGCATAAGTCTGTGACTTACACAAGAAATTATGGCGTACGTTACGCAGTCATTTTTGATGGTGTAAGTTGCGCCAAACGAAAGGAAAATATACTGCAAAACTTTTTGTCCGCTTCTGATGAAGAAAAGACGGAAAGTTTTTCAAAA